TGAGCTGCCGCAGGAATTTATATCCATTTAGAAAAGAGGCTTTTAAGGGGGCTCTGGCCAACAGATGACACAGCGCAAGCATTCCTCGTGCGGCCTTGGAGATGTTTTAACGATGAAACATTGCCATTGCAGATGTGTGCAGTATCTACGGACAGCAAGTTCAATTCAATCTCTCTCCCAGGCAATGCATTGATGAAGACAAAAAGCAAACATTCATCTGCTGTCTAGCTGTCTTTGTTTTTATAACTCTTACATCCTGTCTACACTGAGTTTTATTAATATCTTTCATCCAGCATTTTTCATGCGATAGCCCAAGAGTAAAAAAAATATGTGTATCAAAAGAAAATGGGTTGTCCATATTATGAAAGTCAATGAGAAAGTCCAGTTCCATATAGGACAAAGATATGAAATTAATCTATTAATGGTCTTCTATTCTTCAAAGTGATCGTCACAAAACCTTTCAAATCAAGGCAAAATTTGACACACGCAAGACTACACAAACCGTAGCAAAACTCTTTTTATCTTTGGCTCAACTCTTCCTTTAAATGTCATGGTAGCTAGCTGTTTTTTTTTGTTTCAATATGATCAACCAGCTCTACCCATCATCAACATGACATCATGACTTTTGCGTAAACATACTTTCAAGTCAAGTGGCGTGTTATCTATGCGCATTTTGAGCTATCCGCGAGTATGCGTACATGTCTGCGCCGTTAAATGTCCGAGTGATTTCCCGTGTACGTATGTACACGACATTAAATGTCCGAGCGAAACGAAGCAAAATGTAGATCTACATCTGGGCAGTGATATTTTTTTTCATAGGATGGTAGGGGAAGACTCATAAATGCTATTAACCCCAATGACGGGTAGGTTTTGGGACGGGGTTGGGGTAGGTCATATTATTTATACAGTAATGTAACGTTAAGTCAACGGCGTTCATAAACACGCTGAAAAGCGATTATGCGTGTTGATAGCACGCCAAAAATGGAGATACGAATTGGTGTGTCATACATTCGCCATTTCATGAGATCAGTCTACAAATTAAGGCAAAATTTGATGCACGCATGAATACACAAACTGTAGCAAAACTATTTTTATCTTTGGCTCAACTCTTCCATTAAATTTCAAGGTAGCTAGCTGATTTTTTTATTGTTCCAATGTGATCAACCAGCTCTACCCATCATGTACCCCTTTTCCACCAAAAAAGAACTGGTTCGGAACTGGTGCTGGTTCAAAGTTGGTTCGGAGTTGGTTCAACTTGCGAACCCGTTCGGAACCTGTTTGTTTTTCCACTGACTAGAGCGGACAGGGAACGACGTCGTTACGTCACATGTGTACGTCGCCATACGTTTTAACTCGTGTACCATGAAGGCTTTAAAAACAATTGAAATGTAAGTCTTTCAATCTTTTCGTTTAATATGTAATCTTTTCTAATTAGTTATGTACCCCTGTCTTTTGTCTATTTTTCTTTCCATTATTTGTTCTATATTGTGACTGTTTTCTTCTTTGCTTATAATATTTTCAATAATAAAAAAAAATAGAAACGCTTGCGCCAACTTCAAGCATGACAATTACAAAGGCGGACTCCATCGTGTTTCTGCAAATGTTTCTCTTGGCTTTGCGATGCTTTATTATGGTCAGAAAAATGTTTAGAACACATCTAAACCCGCCCCAGCCCCTGACGTAAGCATGACGTGGTAAAAGAACGGTTCTAGTCCAGCAAAGAGTTGGTGCCGCTTTGGAACCAGTTTTCCCGGCCGAGAACCGGTTTTTGGCTGTCGAAACACAAAGAACTGGTTCGCGCGCAGGCACCGGCTCCGAACCGGCTCTCAAAACGCTTTGGTGGAAAAGGGGCTATGGATTCCAAAACAACCAAGATGTCAATCCCTCCTGTGACTACTATAAAAACAAGACAAGACCTTATTTTTCCTATACATGGCCGACTCGAACCAGTTTGAAAACCATGTAGAATATTTTTATTATGGCGTATTAACCGGTTTTGTAAAGATCTTGCTTGCATTTTTACATTTCTAAAGCTCTATCTGTCCCCACAGCGCGGTCCTCCACCACCACGACTACCATAGTCGAGACCAAAAATGACGTGAGTGCGCATCCCTTACGTTCGTCCAAGCGCACCATGACCGATGACCTGTACAGCACGTTCAGCTCCCCCATGGCTTGGATCCTCGTGCTGGCTCTCATCATAACATGGTCGGCCGTGGCCATCATCATGTTTGACCTGCTCGACACCAAGGGTCTAGAAGGTAGGTCTATCTCTCTTATCTTTGTCTAATTGCCTTCGATGGAGAGTTATTTTGGTACAGTTGTGCTGAAGGGCAAGTTGGGCGCAGCAGTCGATTATTAGGCTACCTGATTGGGGGCTTTATAACAGCACATTCACTTTAACTTTTGGTAAAAACAGGACCCAGATGAAGCATAATTGGATGCTTGGGTGAGCTTTTACAATGTGATAAAGCTCAGAGCTTGTTTTCTGCCTGGAAGTTTATCAGCAGTGCCACAGGGCAAACTTGTGAGGCTTCTAAGAGTGGGAGGGAGGGATATTGACTGGATCCTGATAGCATTGACAGTGACAAGGATAGATAGGGTGTCCCGTTGGCAGGCTGCTATCAGCCACCGCCTCATTCATGCAGAGTGCTGAAAAAGTCCTTGTAGGACACCGCTTTACCTTGTATTACCACCTGGTGATATATTAGAGTTCATCGTTGATGCAAGGAAGATGATAGAATGGTTGTTTTTTGTTGCTGAATTATTGAAGTTGCAGTCAATTGTTTCTCAGTGCGATTCAGTAATTCCATAATGACAATTTTGAACTCCTTCAACTGTTGAAGTTGAATAAAAATTGTCATTGTTTAGAAGGATTTATCACTGTCATTGAGATCACATCACAACTCATTCACAATTCATTCCATCAAAAGCTCTAGAACACAAACACATTAACCCATTTTTGAAAGTATTTCAAAATGGAAACATTAGACTTTCATGTAGTTCACTACATGAAATACACCACCCCACATTGTAGGTGTCACATTTACATTTACTTATTTCTAATAAGTTTCCCTCCTTTTTCCACCCCGTCCATCATCATGTGTCATCCTGTTGCCATCCAATAAAAAGCCCATACATTATACTGTGACGACCCCTGTTTACCACCTGGTAAAGACTCTCTGCCTGCAGTTCAATGCTAATGCCTGTTTGTGTGTGTGTTTGTGTTTTTTCCTGCATGCAAACAGGGAGCAACTGTCACTCTCATCTCAAACATTCATAGACATGCAAATTTACTGAACCATCTAATATACCCGTCATGAACACGACATCACTTCCTCTAGAATGTCATGCATTCCATTCAGAGTGACACTACACCTTTGACTTTATAATGACAAAGTGAATTGTGGAACTAAGTTCACTTTGAAAGCAGATCAAAATATAGCTAAAAAAATAAATAAATAAGTGTTTGCTTCTGATTTTAAACACCTGATCAAATTTTACATCCGTTTCAATCACCTCCAGAAAAAAAAAAGAAAAAACTCCTTTGGGGTGTTGTGTATTAGAAAATGCACAACTGCGTAATTAATATTTCTCTTTACACTTTAAAGAATAATTAGCATTTTTATCTTGCTTTCCATTAGTATATAAATAATTGATCAAAAACGAGATCAATTTACTTTATGCAAAGTTACATAATGTATCTTGAATTTTTCTAAACCACTGGCAAATACTTTGTACTCCTGTTATGAGATAATATAAATAAAAAATATGATAAATAATATTGTAATATATATTATTCTTCAATCTCAATACTAAATTCTGCTTCAAGTACAATTTTCTCCTTTTAATATTTAGATATTTAAAAGAAAAATACAACTTTTTCCTTTAAGGAAAAATAAAACTGAAAAAAAATAGTCAAGTCAAGTCGCATTTATTTATATAGCGCTTTTTACAATAAAGATTGTATCAAAGCAGCTTCACAGTGATAACATGAAAATAATACAACACAGATCAATAATATTGTTGAATATTAAATATTGTTGAATATTAATAATATTTAATGCATTAACAATATTTAATTATAAATAAAAAGATGTTGTGTCACCAGATTGTAAGTGTTTGTCTTTCGTAGTGCATAAAATAATGGTTTATTTTGGTCTCAAAATGAAACACATTTGCTTTGCAATTATTTCAACGTGAAACTAAATTAAGCTCACGAGACAAATACTCTAAATAAAAAAATACTCTATTGTGATTTACCTGATATCATGGTATGGTCTTGATACATAGGCCATAATACAGTATGGCTTCATCAAAAAGCTTGTGGAACTGATTTTCAGCATGACAAAAATTCCCAGTGCAAAAATATATTGAACTTCTGAGAGACTTTGAATATATTGAACTTTTGAGAGACTTTAAACCATAATTTTATTTGAGCCAGCATGACATCAATAAGCTTTGTGCCAATTGCTCCCTTCCACCCTGTGATGATATCCAACATTCATGAGTTGGCGTCTACTTTGCGATATTGCTTTCAATACGCCTCAAATTATTCAATCAATTAATTTTATTCTAACATCGATAACTATGCTTTGAAAGCGCTGTAGCTTGACTTCGTTTATTAACTGTGTGGTATTGAACGGCAACTCCTCCTTGCCATGCAGAATGATTTGATTCTTCTTTTCATTAAATGCACTGAGCAAAACAATGATATTTTTACCTGTAGAATATTAATGCAGTATTCTATGTTGCAGATTTCTCACGTTCTTTACAGGAGAAGGAATATATACTTTAATTTCCCTCTCAATGCACAGCTAAACCTGGAGAAATGGCCTCGTAGGCTACGCGATGCGGAATCACGGGGAGGAAGTTGGCACTTTGGCCCATCTTAACACAGCCTTGCTTTTACAGAGTCTTTACCATTTGACTTCAGGTGGTCCATAACGGTGGTTCTCAACTGGTTTTGCTAATTAACCCAGTTTTTTGCAATTTGGACATCAAATGGAAGTCCAAAACAGTACTAAAACTGTCAATCCTACAAAACTAAACAGAATTATCCATAAAAAAAAACTTACCTTGTGTAGCTAAATTTCCATGGGTTTTGAGAATGAAGGGATATTATGCAACCTTTTCCAAGTTGCCATCCATCTCTGTTTTGCAAGCAAGTCCGACCAGTTGAGAGCCACTGTTCAACAAAACAACAAAGAGAACATGTAAATCCACCAATTACATTGAATGGCAAGAGTATTGTGATGACAATAAAGGTTGTTTTTACAGGTATAATACATATCAGAACTAATCTACCACTGCTTCAGATAGCAGGATTATGTCACATGTACAAAAATCAACACATATGATTGGTAACACACTGTAATTCCCTTTACTGTTGGAGAGCTGTGGTCATGAAAAGAAGAGTAGAGTGCAGAGGACTGTGCAATGAAAGTGAAGGGTGAGGCTCTGCTCACTTTCAAGACAGGATTCAAAGACTGTGTTTCCCAGTGCCGTGACTGAGATTCTCTGTTGGGAATGATCCCCCTCATGCCTGAGTTTTAAGATGTGGAATAGTGTCCTCTTTTTGCCCTGGAGTCTCAGTCACATGACTGGTCTATGCAACAGCATAAGTCTAAGTATGAGAAAAACATATGTGGTGTATACTTTCTAACCAACTACATCAGAGCTCATCAGAACATATACAAACATAAATTTTACCAATATTATGTACTTTTAAACTTTTAATTTATCCAATTGGCTGTGATTATGCAAAGTAGGGGCTGTTCCTGGATCATAATTCATATTTGGTCACAGAGCAACAATCAACCTACATTTTCCATTTTCCATTCAGGAACATGTCCTAATTCACCGTCACCGTATCATAACCATGAAAAACTGCAGAGCTAGATTTTCAAATATGCAGAATAATGTCACGCACAATGAGAAAATAAATTAATTTTACCACCACATGACATTCCTGTAAAAAAAAACACCAAAATTTTCGTGATCAGTATTTTTTCCAATCTCGTTTCCTAATATTTTATTATACCCAATTGGCTTAATATTATTTTTCAGCATTTTTTTCTGCATATCTATCAGTGAGTTAAAAAAAACCAAACAGTTTGCCTAGGGGTAAAACTAATTCAATAAATATTCATTGAAAGAAGAAAAAAAATGTTGCTTCTCATGTGCATTTATCTTATTTTAATAATGTTTAGATGGAAAAAAAAAAGAAACAGATTAAGAAAATGATTTTCTGCATTGATTTGAACAGCAACCATCTCACTGTATCACAGATAAGACTGAACCAGCACATTATCACTTAAGCAAACAAATAACCAAAGAAGTAAAAAACTGAATTGAACATATAAAAACTGCATTGAACTCTCTGTAATTTGTCCTCAAGATATAGAAAACATCAAGACATTCATTCAGTTTGAGCTCATTGTGTCTTTAGTTAAGCATTCATCTGTATGGTTTTCGATTTCTGTCCCTTATATTGATTTCAATGGTTTAGCTGCACTGCCCAGGGGAAAATGTCTATTGTTTCAGATATCTTTTATATCTTATGAGATTTATTTGGGGTTATCTGTTATCTGTTATAGAGGATTTTTCTCCTTAAGAGAAATAAAAATAGAAACATGATGCAGAAACAATGTATTGTGGATACAGTAAAGCCCATATCAGATTATTGGTCATGTTTTGATTGCAGACTTTGGTATGTTGGCAAAAATCTAGAGGCGTCACATGTAATATCGTTGGGTCTTTCTCTAAATTTAAACATATAAGCAGAAGACATAAGCAAAAGTGTCCATTTACTCTCCTTTTAAACTTATTTGCTGACTAGAAATACAGTATAAAAACAAAACTCATTTGCATTTGTATTTGCATTTGTATCACACTCAAGCACCCAAAAATGTAAAATATTGTCAGTTTTGAGTGTGAAAGCTTATGTTGAATTTCCATAAAGTGGGTTAAAAAGTGAATCAAACAAATGTCACTGAATTCATCAGTATTGCATTAGCATCTCTGTGTAAAGGAGATGTCACAATTACATTACGAGGCCTGAATTTCAATGCAGCCGGAAGCCGACATGAGAAAAGAGTGTGACAATTTAATTTGCTATGATAAATGCTCTAAAAAAAATGTATTTTAAAATGTGTATGTTTGCAGTTTCAAGTTCACTGTGACATGGATTATGATGTCTCTTTCACACCTTTCCTGTGATTTTGTGCTAAGAGTGATGTGTTTTGTTATGATGGTGGCTAAATGAGCCTGTTTATCCTGCCTACAGTTCTGAGGATGACCCAATGAGAGTGTGTGTACAGTATGCGTGTTGCTATCAAACACCTCTGCTTCTGTGTCTCATCCTAACAGGACCTCAGCCACACCGTGTCAGGAAAACATTAAAGGAAGCAGGCAGCCTTAGAGGCAAGCCATCTTATTACATCTTATGCATTCAAGCAGCGATTATGAACAGTCTAAAAAGGGCGGGGTCTTTTTAACCCAAATTTGGGTCAAATATGATGTATTTTTAATCGAAATTTTTAACCCAATGGTTGATTTTGTCCATATTTGACCCAAATTTGGGATGAAATAGTTATCTAAATTAATAAGCCACAGTATCACAAATGTGCCTATAGAAAAATTGCACTGTAAATTGAATTTCCTCATCCTGAATGGCATCTTCAAGCAGCATTTTTAAAGCATGCAACTTATTTTCAATGTCAAGGTGAAAAGATCTTTAAAGGTGATGCGAGTATTTTTGTTAAATACAGACTCATTTCCCAATTTAATTTGTAAAAAGACCTTAAACCTGTTTACTGTCAATCACATTTTAGTTTAGTTCTGAACTTAAATGGCTGTAATTATTGAATGCATTGGAATACAGACCTATGGTTGGTTTCTTTGTTGCAGATTAATGCAGTACTTAAAAAAAGGTATAGAAGTTTAGGTTTACTGTAGAAGCAAATGTACAGGACTAAAAAAAATTTAATTTTATACAAAATACTGTATATATTTGACAAAATAATTTGCACTCTAAAATTGCTGGAACATCAACGCCACACACTAATCAAGTTGTGTTCCAAATTTCCAAAAATTGAGCCAGCTAAAGATAACACAATATCCAATTTCAATGGTTTCATTTTCTACACTGTAAAAATGAATACACTTTATCTAATCAATAAAATTGTGGCAACAGATTACAAGCAATATTATTAATTAAATTGAACAACTTTGAATTGAGTAATAAATAATCAAATTATTCCTTAAATGTTAACACCAAAAAAATAAACAAAAATATCTGAATAACAGACAGACGTCAAAGATTAATTAAGAACTCTTTATTTTATATTGCCAACATTCAAGACACCTGATGTTATAATCACTGAAGGAGAAACCTAAAACAAACACCGATCACCATAATGGCGACTTAAATGTAAGGTTTTTTTGTACGTTTTACTAATTTTAAATGGTTTACTTTTAAGGAATTAATTTGAAAAATTATTACTCAATTCTAATTTGTTAAATTGAATTAATAATATTGCTTGTAATCTGTTGCCCCAATTTTTTTGATTAGATAAAGCGCATTAATTTTTATATGATGATTACTAAAATATGTCGTAGGGGTAACAATGCAAATAAAAAAACGCTTCAAGTGTCCCATTACTGGGATCTAAGAAATCACCCATTTTACCTTTAATTAAGAAATTGTGAGTAAATAATAATAATAATAATAATATCCATCACAATTCGAAGTACCCTTTTGTGCTTATTAACATATTGAAATGGTTATGCAAGTAAATTATCGACCTAATGGGCTTTTTTAATTTACATTTTGTAACTAAAACCGCTTTACAGCCCATCTTTACAAGCTAACTTTAACTCATGCAGATTACAGTAGTTGACCACCAGAATATTTCATATACTAATTTATTCGAACAGGAATAGTGAACATCAGGGTGTTTAGAGGCTATAATAGAGGTCTGGAGTCTGTGCATGCAGTCACCTCACTTCTGCATAATGCTGGTAAAATGGCTTTGACTCGGGTCATGCTGTTCACCTGCTGATAACTGCAGACAGACAGGCACTACATGTTGATGTGTGAAATATGATGAGTATTCCGATTTCGATGGGCAGTGGAAAGCATGAAAACCCCAAGCTTATCCAAAATGGAAACAAGTTTAACCGACTTTTATATTTGTAGATCCATATATGCACCTGTCTTTTTTATGACATGTGGGTGTTAAATTCTTTTCAATGCTGAATTTGAAATCATCAGATCTTTTCTTATTATTGAAGATGTCATTCAGGGTCGATAGTACACTGATTATCTGAAAACAGCATGGCCAAAAGTATGTGAACACCTGCTTCTAATGAAATGTTTTGGTTATTGCAGCTACATCATTACTAGAAAAAAAAAGCATGGTGAAGCAATCTGTTTAAATTGTGGGTTTTTAAACTATCTGATGCCAAGGACTCTAAAAATAATGATCTAATGTTAATGAGGAATCTCCTTCCAAAAATATATTATATAAAAACCCTTTTATGAAAGAAAAATGATTGCATGATGTAATAAAGGTATATCTTGCCTCCAGAATTGCCATTTATACTGTCATTAAAAACAATATAAAAGGCAAATATTTAATTTGAAAACAAGCGTATCTGGCGCAAAACGCAATACGATAAAACAAGTGCAGAATACAATTATTTTGTTTTGAAAACAATAATATTATCAGTTACACTGTATCTTTTTCTTACCACTAGACAGTATATGAGCTGATAAGAAAAAAAAATTTCACAAGAATATATGCAGACTCGCTTACTGTTGTTATTATTTTTACTGCCAATAATATAAAACTCATGATTTCTTCTCTAAGCAGAATGAAAAAGTAATCATTTCAAATTCAAACCACAAGTGCAACAACAACAGCAACTCCCAATTATTAAGTCCATGATTTTGAAATGTTCAACCAGGATATAATGATGTGGTGTTCAAGTACTTTTGGCCATAGCTTTTGAGCTGGATTTTACACAGATAACGATTTTGTTTTACGTTTGTAGAGCACTGACAAACAGACAATTGCTGTTGTTATTAGAGCCGGTTATAATGGCTGTAAGTGAATGTACATATTGTTGAGTGTATGGAAATATGTCTCAAGATGCCCTGTCTAAAACATACTTTTAGGGGGTATTCACCACATCAGCAGCACTGATCCAATGAAGGCGGTGAACGAAGCAATGGATGACACTACCGATTGGATAACGTCAATCTTGACTTTTATGACTAATTTGGTAGCACCAGAAGAAGAGGAGGATGAAGGTATAAACTTGTTGTGGCCTTTCTTTCACAATAGCAGCATGATTACACAACAAAGTGTTTACAGTAATATCCACAACATCTCAGAAACCACAGACTAACCCACAGCGGTTTGATCTGACGAGCCATGAGTTCTAATAGGACTTATTAGAAATATGAGCTGGCTTTTATGGTCACGTTTTCCCCCTTCTGCAACCTGGCTTAAACCTGGTTTCCCAAAGGGATTGAAGAATAGCATGGATCAAATTTGTGCAAATATTTAGTTTCAAGCAATCTATATTCTGACATTATATAACAAGGTCTGCTAGAAAATTGATGGTGTGTGTCATAATCAGAAATATTAAAGGAATGGGTCGCTATTTTACAGCTTTACTCACCAAAGAAGAGTTTTGAGAAAGAGGACGAGGAATTTCTACCAGGAACTGTCTGCCACATGTTGTGATTCTACAAAATAACAATAAAAACCAAACAAAACAGTATCACATCTCTGTCATTAATCAATCTCACACATCATATCTTCTTGGTATCACGATCATAATCTCAAGTTGATTCACAAAGACATATACATAATACGTAGTAACATTTATCCAAGGCAACTTGCAAATAAGAATGCAAGTATAAGCAATTGATTGAAAGGGGACAATACAAGTAGTGCTACTGTACAGAATTTAATTTGAGTACTTCAATATTAATTCTAGGAAAGCAAGTCTTAATGTCTTGCAATTCTTTTATTTCTCAAGTAACTTTAAGTTAAGAATTTGCCTATATATTTTTTACTGGAAAACAAGACAGCAATTAGGGCTGTGAAATGATTAATCGCGATTAATTGCATCCAAAATAAAAGTTTGTGTTTACATCATATATGTAGTGTGTATAATTATTTTGTATATATATAAATAACACATATGCATGTATATACTTTAAATATATTTATACAAAATTAATATAATACATAAATATAAAAATTTGATATATTAATAACACATTTTTCTTAAATATACACATGCATATATATATATATATATACCATATATATTTATATATACACACTACACACACACACATACAGTATGATGTAAACACAAACTTTTATTTTGGATGTGATTAATCGCTTCACGGCCCTAACAGCAATACTGATTAAGAAAATGATGTTTGCAGTTTAGTGCAAGAAAACAAATGATGCACTATTTGTGATATTTATCACTATTGGAGAACAATGAATCTCAGAAAAAAAAGAGAAGCAAAACAAAAGAAGACACCTAAATCTCCCCTCTGTAATTTTGGAAGCTAATGAGTCATTGTGGTCTCATTGAGGGCAGATCATATGGCCGTCTTTAACCACAGAAGCACTTAGAAAGGCCAGAAGACATGTTTATAAGGTGCTCTATCTCATCTCCTTTTATCCTGATTTTGTCTCAAGTTTAGTCTAGTTAATTCTCGTTAACTTCCATGACCTTGAAACAATGACGGTAGGTTAGCAAACAAAGCTGCCATTAAAATTGACACTTTTATTAAAGGCAAATATAAGCCTATTTGATTTAATCTTTAAGCAAAATCTCCAAAGATAAATAAGGCCTAAGATTAAATACAGATAAAGTAATTAATCTGGCCACGACCACTGTAATCAATTAGGAAACATACAACACCAGAAGACTCATTTTACAAGAGTTTTAGGATCTATAATTCACATTAGTACATTAGTAGTATTTAGCATTGAGCTGAGCACAAATGTTTGAAATCCAGCAGAAATAAATTATTATAGAGCTGTCAGAAAACAAATGAAGTACACATGCACAGAAAACACTTTCAGATGCATCAATAAAGAGAGCTCAAAACAAAGAGAGGCACAAAAGTAACATTGCCAAGATTGTTGAACCAATAACACGCTTGGCTAAGAATCTTCATAAGTCACCTTGAGGTGCTCTGAATAAATGCATGTGGACTGACTGCCACATTGCTTCAATACCTCCAGTTATAAATGAATGATCGCAGATAAATACATTACATTCCAACAGAATACAGAATAATCTCAGCAAAACAAAAACATTGCGTACACAGGGTATACAAACTGATCACAATACTAATATACATACATATATGCATACACACATATGGGTCATTCTAGGGATTTAGTAATATTTAATAATAATAATTCATTACATTTAGATAGCTCTTTTCTGGGCACTCAAAGCACTTAACATAGAAGGGGGAATCTCCTCAATTTCTCCTATATTAAATCTCCTTTATTCTCAACCCCATAAGGGACAAATTGGAATTGGTTTAAAAAGGATTTTACACAAAACTTGTTATAAAACAAACATCTACCTACTGTTTGTGTCCCACATAACATCATTTTATTGTGTTAGCTATTTATTCCCCAAAAGAATAGTTGAGGATAGTGTGACAGGGTTTGAAGACTGTAACTGGTTTGAAGGGAGACATTGCCTTTAATTTTATATTTTAATTTTGACCTCTGTCTCACATTGTGCCCTTCTCTCTGGGTCAATATCTGCATGCACAGCACAGTCTGTCTGCTGCTGATGAGGCTGCCATTTCTAACATAGGATGCTTGTCAACGGTGGACACACACAATACATCAAATATTCTAAATTATGATTCTAAATCATGATTTTGTTAAGTATATCTTCACTGAAACCATGACTATTTTATATTTTTTATTAAAATTATTCATAAATGAAGTAAAAAAAAAAAACTCAACCCTGTCACAAATTTTCAAACCAGAAAAAATACATTATATATACAAACAAATACATTATTTGCTCAAAATGGCCACTGCTCCTCTTGTAGAGTAGGGGAGGAGACCATATTCGGCAGTAATGAAATAAGCACATTGTATATCCTTATGGATTAAAATACAATTTTGAAAAATTTATTTTCCATCTTATGTAAAGGGGTTGAGTTGTTAAGCTTAACAGTACCCTCCCTGACCATAATACGCCTAAAAAAATGAATAAAAATATGATACTACATACCATCTTCTGCCACTGTTAAAAAAAGACAAATACATTTTTTCACAAATAAATACTTGCAATATTGCCCAAAATTATATAGGCTACTCTATGCAAATTTTTGCATTTTCTTGTACAAATTCAGTGAAGTGCCTCAGGGACATGACAAAAAGCTTATACGATAGAAATAAGACATCATTTTATTATACAAATTATTTAAACGCAATATTTTTTTAATTAACTATAACGTTAAATGGACACAGTGAACCACGACTAAAATATATTACTAAATCAATCATTTCCTAACCCAGAAATGACCCATATTAATACAGAATGCATACAGTATGCATACATACACACACAGATGAAAAGAAAATTCCTTATTTCCCAGAATGCATTACCAGTCTCCAGACAGACGAGTGTGCGCTATTTTGAAACTGAAGATGAAAAATGTCTTTACCCGAGTCGTTCACAAGCAGCACGTGGAGAAGTTGAACTTCATAAAATCCTTTGCCTCGCTAACAAACGAAAGACATGTATATATTTCGAAGTTTTCTTTCAAAGGTCTGTAAGTAAATATTAAGTAAATACAACACTCTTTTGTCTCTATGTATTTCTTCAATGTTTGGCTATGTCGACTCGCGAGGGACCGCTCCAAACGGTTTAGTGCGTGCGTGAACTGCGATTAATTGATAAGAACCGATTCAAATGCGTGAATCATTTGAGAATCGGACCTCGCTAGTTTTGATTCAAAACTGGCAGAAAATACTGAACCGTCCCAACACACTTACATATTGTGAGGGAAAATATTTCCCTGACGAAAAATAATCAATAAAATATAAGTAGAGTTTAGATTTAACCTACTGGGATTTAAGCCTAATTGTTGAATTTAGTTAGTCAGTCTCTATGAGATAGTTACTATAGCAGCTAGTGTGCTCCAAAACAATGACAAAATTAGCATTTATGATGAAAATAAATAAACAAACGAATAAATAGGCCTACATGAGGGTAAGGCATTGAAGTGTAGGCTATATAAAGTAAATGTGCAAACACAATTCTAGCTATACTGTAGCTTGGATGATGATGATGTAAAAGTGGAATAGTCTGTGCGGGATCTAAAAAAATCTTACATGAATAAGACCTAAAAATCCTACTTGGTAAATACATTTTTATTGTGAGTGAGATACACCATGTTTATGGATTTCCAAACAAATCATTGCTATTTTATCATACTGAATTAACCCATGTGTTTTTGAGAAATGTCACAACAACCAGGGATTATTTTTTGTTTGTTTGTTTAATGTAAAACTGTAGTAGAAAAAATTGTTTCCATTAGCAAATTAGTAGAAAATGACTCCATGGCTTGAATTGAAATGTTCACAGCACAAAAGAATTTGAATTAGAAAGACAAGAAGAGGAATTCAGTAAATTGCAATAAAACAGGCAATGCATTCTGGGAAATAAGATTTCTGCCGCCAAAATGTTTATTTATTAAATACAGTGAAATATATAAACTACATGCACATTTTAAACTGTGCCATTCCAATTGTCAATCTTTAATGTTGTACAATATTATTTACCAGACCTGATAGTAGCCTACTGTATACAGTAATGGGAATTTATGAACATTTCATAAACTTACTTACGTAATAATTTCTGGAAATTTCAATCATTAAAATATTACTCTACTCTCTATACAAAATCACCAATATGCTCTGCTTTTCATTTGAGCACAGATGTATCACACTGGAGAAAAACAGGCTCGCCAGATCAATTCGCTCAGCAGACAAACAAGCTGATTAATTACATTCTAATTGCACACATGTAAATGCATCATCGGGCATAAAGGTGGCTTCACACGCCGAATAATTCAGATTTGAACCTGTTTGTCGCATGAAGATTAATGTGTAAAAAGTGTGAAGTACAAAGATAACAAGAGAACACATGTATGTGTGTGCGTGTGAGAAGATCTTAGAGGCCAGGAAAAAGTGCTGTGGATCGCAGACAAGCCTTTTCCCTTCTCTGATCCACATTTATAATTTATTTAACCCTCATCAATGTTTCAAAAGATCTATTTTGTAGGTTTTTCTCTAACAGTGTCTTCTGTATTCCTTCCTCCTCCGCCAATTTAGGTGATCGTCATTTTGTGAAGAAAAAAGGTTAGTATCATTCTCTGTGCTCCTTTCAACATGCACACATAAGAGATGCATCATACCAAAATCCTATTTAAATTGTTTGACATAAATACACGAATAGTGTTTAAAATCAACATGAGTTGAAGAATCCAGTCATATCTGTTAGGATAGGATATACCAAGCCTTTTGCACATCTTAAACACGGCCACTACTTGAGCTTTTCCCCTCTGGCCTGACCTTGAGGAGTACGCTCTTCTTCATGGTTTTCTGAAGCATTTATTCTCCATTTAAAGTGGACTATGGCAGCACTTTAAGGGTGTCAAGTGGTGTTTGGTATAAATAATGATATTCAGACAGTTGTTTTGAAAATTGATGCATTACTGCTAGACTAAATAAATAGCCTATGCAAATCTCCTCGCAAAACACTTCTCACATTAGGTTTGTGAGACTTTCAGCTGTTAATTGAGGAAGTATTAGGGGCAATATTTGAAGAGCAATCATTAGTTGCCTGAAAGGGTGAATTTGTTTTTTTTACATAAAGCAATGAGTTTGGAGTACCATATTCAAATTAAAGCCTCACAAAATATATTACGCTACAAAATGGGTTCTTACAAAGCAGTGTACCTTGTCATTGATTATATTAAATAGTTCATTCAAAAAAATGAAAATTTTGTTCTGAACCCCTATGGTTTTCAATCTTCTGATTCTGATAACACTCTTTTCCATTCAATGACTATTGGCAATAAGTTTAGAAAAACTTTTTTTAAAATCCCTAAAAAGATTGTAAGCAACGAATTGAAATTGTGCACATAATAAAATCACACAAATGTGAGAGGTGGAGAGGAAGAAATGACTATGTACACTTTTATGATACTTTATGGTGCTTTTTTGGAGCTTGACAGCCTGTGGGCACCATTAAAAGGGATAATTCACCCAAAAATGAAAATTATGTCTTTAATTACTCACCCTATGAAGATCAAATGAAATCTGAGAGCTTTTTTGTTCCTCCATTGACAGCCTATGCAACTGCACTTTGAGGCTTCCTAAAGTTCATAAAGAGATCTTAAAACTAATCTATATGACTTGAGCGGCATAGTCCAAATTTTCTGAAGAGACTCGATTGCTTTATATGATGAATATATTTAATTTAGGCTTTTAATCTCATATAAACATTGATCAGAGAACATAAACAGAAGCTAAACCAAACCTGCTTGTCCTCATTGGTTTTTGCGGAAACTTAAATGCCCTGTGAAACACAACAGAAAGAAACACATTGGTTCTTGCATGTCAAGCAGTTTACCACTACAGATGTGTGTTAATAAATGTTTATATGTGAATAAAAGCCTAATTTCAATCTGCTCATATCATAATGAACAGAGCATGGTGACCATTGGCATTAGGTTTCGAAAATCCCTAAAAAGCTTGTAAGCAACGGATTGAAATTGTGCTATTTACGCTTTACTATTACCACTTTTAATGTGCAAAATATATGTGAATAAAAGCCTAATTTCAATCTGTTCATAGCATATAACGATCCGATTGTGTCTCTTCAGAAAATTTTGGACTAAACCACTAAACCAGATTGGGTGAACTATTCTTTATACTGTCAGTATCATGTGTTAAAGTATGCCAAAACAGCATCATGATGAAGACGCATCTGACAGGGGGGCCTAAAAAATAGACATTTTTAATTCATTTTTCACCACTGTGCTGCATATAGAACTTCTTTTTCTTTTTTTACCATGCATTAAACCTCACATTAACCAACTAACGTAATCACAGTTGTTGTTCTATTCTTACGGTCTGTGCATCTCTCCTCTAGGAGAATTCCTGCCACCAAGAAAAAAAGGTCTGTCTTGAAGAGAGCTTGATGAGATTGCATTCATTAGAGAGTACATAACCCATCAGCATAACAGATAACAGTTTGCTTGAGTCTGTAATTAACACATTTATATTAAAGTTGCATTAGGAGGGCAAGCATTAGAGTATTTTATGGAGAATGGCCATTATGCTGTCATTGATTGCATTTGGAGCCATGCATTCATAATCATTTCCTTTTGTTTTCACACACCCTAATTATGCTCCCCATGCTAATCAGTGTTCCATAAAGCTGCATGTATTTGTCCATTAACATCTTCATGAAATTATCATTAAGCTGTCTCTAAATGGTAAAGCTATTCCAGAAAGCATCTAAACACCATTATCAGTTTCAACTAATGCAAATGTTTGTGAATAAAAATAGCCCCACATACGTGTAATAAAAGTCTGTATTTGATTATATGGGCTACACATTTGCTGTCATTTGTCATATGGGAACTCTGCAAACCTCATAAATTGGTGTGCCCCTGTTTTGCTTTAAAGATAGTCCATAATTATTGATACAGGGACACCTAAGCGACCAGGAAATTAGATCTGTGCTCCTAAGACATATAGGCAGTGTCACTGGAGGAGATTTATAAACCATAATTATTGTTCTTATGACGATGCTCTACTCCCCATAGTGGCGAGGTCATTTCAGCACTGTACTTTTATCTACTTTTATTGTACACTGTTCTAAGTACCTATGTATTAATGATGAATGCCTACAGTTTCATGGTAACACAAAATTAGGGTGGAATTTTTAAAAACCAATAGAGTGAAGTATTTTTAGGCCAATTAAGCAAATTCCAAAATGCCTGAAGCTCAAGATATTTTCAGTGTTTATTATGCCTGTATAACCGGTCCTACTCGGCCCACTTCGAGCTGGATTCGAACCGGGGTATCTGGCGTGGGAGGGTGCGATAACAAGGATGTTAAAGACTGCAGCCTCTTGCACGCCTCTTGAGGCCAAGGGAGTGAGGTTTACATGCACAGCTCTTACTTGCCTGCGTTCGTTACACATGATTTATCCATGTACATCTTTTTATATACTTATGTTCCCTGGTAATATCTGTAAATTGAAAAAATAAGCTCCCCCTCCTTTCAAAAACATCTCTTCTTTAATGATGACATCACCAATGCAGAGCAGGACAGTAAAACCTCCCCTTTCGCAACCTAACACTCACAAATTCGCAGCAGTTTGCAAACAACAATGCAATAATCCAATCAAATACTGATCTACAAAATCAAGTCTCCTTATTTTTATTTTAAAAAACGCTTATTTTTTATTGGGAAATTTTGTATTTTTTTTTTCTTGTTCAAAAAGCCGTTTCCAATACATTCTCATCCCAAGACGTCATCTAACTGACGCTTTTGACCATACGTCAACATCTGACGCTTTAGGGCACCCTTTAACGTCAGTTAGATTACGCTATCCTAGGGCGTCATCTAACTGACGCTTTACCTTTAGCATCAGTTAGATGACGCGGGTAGATTAGGTCTGGGGTATCAACGCATTCTCACCCCAAGGCATCACCTTTGACCATGCTTCAATATTTGACGTTTTAGGCGCCCTTTAGCGTCACTTACATGACGCGATCCTACGACGTCATTTAACTGACGCTAAAGGAAAGCGTCAGTTAGTGGACGCGGTTAGGTTTAGGTCTGGGGTGGGGGTAGGGTACACGCGATCCTAGGGCGTCATCTAACTGACGCTAAAGGGCGCCTAATGCGTCAGATATTGAAGCATGGTCAAATGCTTGGGGGTGAGAATGGGCTGGGGGTATAGGGTTGGGATTAGATAGTGTCATCTAACTGACGTTAAAGGGTGCCCTAAAGCGTCGGATGTTGACGTATGGTCAAAAGCGTCAGTTAGATGACGTCTTGGGATGAGAACGGGCTGCCGTTTCACTAGATCACCATTGGGAAGAAAAGATGGTCACGTTATCCGTTCCATCTTTTAACAGACATTGACCAATGGTTCGGTCACATTAGCAACATTTCAAAGGTCCATTGTTTATTGTCAATAGTGTAGAGATATGTGAAGCCCAGCTCACACAGAAGTCACTTTCAGACTAATCAGCTTTCTTGGTTTGTGATTAATTTGAAATCCTTACAAAAACCCAACAACAAGTTAAGCTTACTCATTTCATTTGAGGAAACCGATTGCCTCAATTCATTTAAGTTTATAAAAAAACAATAGTTGAGTAGGGTTGGGTATCGTTTGAATTTGAACGATTCTGATTCCTTGTTTCGATTCCGGTTCCTAACGATTCTCGATTCTTTTAAGAGGCAGGGTCAAAAAAGTTTAGCTAACCTTGCTAACCAACGGCCTTTCTGAAGGAAATAATCCTTTCTGAAGGAAATACTCCTTCTGTAAAAATACTCCTTTTGTGACAAATTTTGCATTTTGCCGAGATTTCGTTATTTTTAGAAAAGTGAAGCCACACTTTGGATCGCCGACGTAGGGTACTCATGTTCGACTCGCGTGGTTATGCCAACACTTCCGGTAGACGCTTCTTCGTTGATGTTGTTCAGCGGTTTCTTCTTCCGCTCGGCGGACTGTGAATATCGAAAGTAGGAATCGAAATTTTAACTTTTGAACGATTCCGGGAAAAACGAAAAGTTAGTCTCGGTTCCAATCGATACTCGATTATCGATACCCAACCCTAGTTATGAGTACTCTGAACTTATTTTATTCGAGTTCACTAAAACAATAATATTTCTTAAAACACAGCGTAGTCTCATCCCAAGACGTCATATAACTGACGTCTTGGGACGTCTTTTGACCATACGTCAACATCCGCCGTTTTAGGGTACCCTTTAACATCGGTTAGATGACGTTATCGGATCCTAACCCTACCCCAGACCTAAACCTACCCCTAAACGTACCCCGTCACCTAACTGACGTTAAAGGTAAAGCGTCAGTTGTATGACGTCCCAGGATCGTCATGTAACTGACGTTAAAGGGTACCCTAAAACGGCAGATGTTGACGTATGGTCAAATGACGTCCCAAGACATCAGTTATATGACGTCTTAGGATGAAACTGTGTTATAAAAACAGAGTGGGGAAATCTTTCGCCCTCACATGAAACTCAGTCATGTGGATTGCAGTTGATACTTGTTTTTGGTACAAATATTTTTCAAACAACAATAAATGCAACCGAACCATAAAAGCCACAAAAGTTCGGACAATTTGTTATTCTGACAATATATGGTATTAAGAGGCCTCATCAAGCTATGAGCAATATGCAGAGCTCCTTTGTGTATCAACAGTTGTACTTAAAAAAAGGAACCTATTCGTTTGCATGTCTTCAGTATTCTACTATCTAATAGCATACTACTAAAGGGATGCTGTCACAGTAAAATACAAGATATGCATCATCTATCTGATTATATGTTATGCACTGAATTGTGTATGTCTAACCCAAATTATTATGAATCCGTCTCATCCTATGGGGTTTGAACCCCACACTCTCGACAGCTTCACTGACATTTCTAACAACCTAATGATATAGTTGCAGAGATACGGGCCAAGGAGATCTTAGAAGAGGAAGGGGAGTACGAGGAGGAAGAGGAGGAAGATGACATGGCTAATGATGAAGAGGTGGAGGAGGAAGAAGAAGAAGATGGTGAGGAGATTGAGGAGGAAGAAGAATCTGCTGAAGAAGAGGAAGATGAAGACGAGGAGGCTGAAGAAAAGGAGATAGAAGAAGCTGATGTTGAGGAGGAAGAGGTAGAGGAAGAGGAGGAAGCAACAGCAGAGGAGGAGGAGGCTGAAGAAAAGGACAAAGAGGAAGCTGATGAGGAGGAGGAAGAGGACGATGAAGAGGAGAAAGCAGCAGCAGAGGAGCCTGATGAGGAAGAGGAAGGAAAAAAAGAGGAGGCTGAAGAAAAGGAGAAAGAGGAAGCTGATGCTGATGCTGAGGAGGAAGATGAAGAAGCAAAGGAGGCTGTGGAGGAAGAGGAGGTGGAAGAAAAGGAGAAAGAGGAAGCTGATGCTGAGGAGGAAGATGAAGAGGAGGAAGAAGCAAAGGAGGCTGTGGAGGAAGAGGAGGCTGAAGAAAAGGAGAAAAAGGGAGCTGATGCTGAGGAGGAAGATGAAAAGGAGGAAGCAGCAGCAAAGGACGCTGAAGAGGAGGAGAAGGGAAAAGAAGAGGAGGCTGAAGAAAAGGATGAAGAGGAAGCTGATGCTGAGGATGAAGATGAAGATGAAGAGGCTGCTGCTGCTCCCGAAAAGGAAGATGCTTCCATCCCTGCCGAAACCAATGAGGAAAAAGACGAAGCTGCAGAAGCTAGAGTCACCTCTAAAGAAGCTGAGGCAGATGAAGATGATGAGGAGGAGGACAGAACTGATGCAGATGAAAAGGTTCCTACTACATCACTAGATGATCAGGATGATGAATCGAGCAAAGCAGGAGAGGAGGATGAAGATGGCACCATAGATCTAATATCTGATGCTGAAACCCTCCCACCTTTGCCCTCAGAAGAGCCCGACGATGCTGTTGAAGTTGTAGCTGATGATTCCTCCTCTAAAGATATCAAAGAAGCAGAAGATGTTCTTGAGGGTGGGGAGGCTGGCCACGAAGAACCAGAATTAGCCGAGCCACCCCTTAAATTGGCTTCTACTACAGACGATGACAATACTGATGATGACCAAAGTGAGGAGAAAGATGATGACGATGATGATGTCCCCATTGTGCTTGGTATCATAGCAGATGCTGGTGTCACAGTCACTGATGTTGAAGCTCAGGAAATTGGTGAGGAACCTATACTTAAAGTTGATGGTGATGCAGAGATATTAACAGCCATAGAAGAGAGTGCTGCTAAAGCTGACGACGCAGTAGCTGATAGAGCTGACTCACAAGATGGCTTAAGCGCTACTGATATCCCATCTGATGACCATGATGATAAGATAGCTAAAGAACTAGCGGACAATCAAGGTGAAGGTGTAAAAGACAGTCTTAAAGATGAGACTGGTGTTGGGCTGAAAGACGCTGACTCTGAAAAAGATATAACAAGTGAAGGTGAGGGTGTTACTGAGGAGCCTGAGCTAGATAAGGAGGAGCAGGAGGCAGAGGGAAAAGAGGAGGGAGATGAACAGATAAGTGGTGAGGATGATGATGGTATTATATTAACAGCAGCTGTAGTTAGTTCCGAACCAGATGGAGATGAGACAACAGTGGCTGATGAAGATGATGGCTCTTCATCCGAGAAAGGTACCAAAAATATTTTTTGTTATTGACTCCGAAAGGTCTGTTTGTTTTTCAAATGTGTTCATAGCAAAATGACAGATAATCCTGCAGCCAGTTATTTTAGGGTTGGGAACAAAAATACAGAACCAAAATAATGTTCACACATGCAGTCGGAACACCAAACTAAAATACTTTTCAGTGGCACTTCAGCATCATTACTGAATCTACATTGCAATCCAAACACCGTGACCAATGTAGTTTGATTCCCAAAGGAATCACTTCGAGCTGGTTCTTGTTAGCGAGTCAAAAAACGTACAGCACAACCAGTGTAGTTTGATTCTCGAACAACTGACTCTCTTCAGTCGATTCACTTTAGAGAATTTATTGTTAGTACGTTTTGTCATTAGTATTTAATAAAAATAATAAATGAAATTTGTTTACACATTTTTGTTTTTTAGTATTGTATTAATTGTAACATATTTAAGGCAAAATTATTAAGAAAATTATTTAAAAACCTTTAAAATAAAGTTTGTGTAAACACCTTTTTCAAAAACTGTTTTAAATCGTTTGGCAGTAACATTGCATATCCCAATATCACATTCTTTACAAGTACTAAAATAATACCTGATGAAACCATTAAGGAACCATAATCATTAGCAAACTATTCTCAAGAATTCTTTGATTCCCATTGCTAATTGTTATATCAGTCTGCAACACAGTAAAAGTGATCAGTAGACTTAACTTAAACGAGTAGTTCACTTTAAAAAAAAACTTTTGCGGATAATTCACTCACCCCCTTGTCATCCAAGATGTCCACGTCTTTCTTTCTTCAGTCGAAAAGAAATTAATGTTTTTGATGAAAACATTCCAGGATTTTCTCCATATAATAGACTTCAATGGGAACCAAATGGTTCAAGGTCCAAATGAGAGTTTCAGTGCAGCTTCAAAGGGCTTTAAACGACACCAGACGATGAATAAGGGTCTTATATAGCGAAACGATCGGGCATTTCAAAAATAAATAAAAAAGTTTAAGTTTTATAAGCACAAAGGCTCGCCTTGCTCTGTTCTGTAATGAGCGTTTGTGACTCTCCTGTTCAAACTCGTTCTTCAAAATGAACAAATCTTTTTTCTAGATAAGACCCTTATTCATCGTCTGGTATCGTTTAAAGCCCTTTGAAGCTGCACTGAAACTCTCATTTGGACCTTGAACCGTTTGGTTCCCATTGAAGTGCATTATATGGAGAAAATCCTGGAATGTTTTCATCAAAAACCTTAATTTCTTTTCGACTGAAGAAAGAAAGACGTCGACATCTTGGATGACATGGGGGTGAGTAAATTATCAGCAAAAGTTTTTTTGTTTTTTTTAAAGTGAACTACTCCTTTAAATGAGGAAACCTGTTTCCTTCAAATTATTAAGTAAAGAAACCATGCATGATTGAAAAAAAAAATAAGTTATGCGGAATTGTCAAGCTCATTTACTTAATTTTAAGGCAACAGGTTTCCCCAGCCCGTTCTCATCCCAAGACGTCATATAACTGATGCTTTTGACCATACGTCAACATCCGACGTTTTAGGGTACCCTTTAACGTCCCTACTTTTTTTTTAAAGTTAAATCAACTGAAATTTTTTTTACAAAGTTTGCTTTTTTTAACCAAAGGTTTGCTCAATTTTAGCCAAAAACAATAATCATTTAGACGTCACTTTGCTGTCAAACAAAAAAAGAGTTTAGTCTAAGTTTGCTACCATATATACGCAAATACGCTGGTAGGAAAGGACCTTATTTGAGTTCTAATTTAATTGAAGTTCTTGCTGGGTGGATCAAAGAACAGCAGCTGGTGCATTGCTGTTCAGCTGCCAGTGAAACGGTTAGAATCCATGAGAGACTGCTTTCATGTGAACTGTCACCAAGCGGTTGTCTCGAAAGAGGTCATTCAAGGGTATCAAAGTTCTAGAGGATCAAGGAAAAAATAGGAAACTAAGCTAAATGAAGGTCAACATTGGTTACAGTGGCTTAAATGAGTAAGTTAAGAATAGTGGTCATAGTCATTGTTTTATAGCGCATAAAGCAATTAATTATTAAAGATCATTTATACCGCTTATGCTTTTTACTAATGGTGTTTAAAATAGGACTTGTTGACTTTACCCTGCTAACCTAATTTAGCTGATTTGATAATCCACTCTGTGCACATCTAAACCAACTGTTCCAGCTCGTAACTCGCTAGTGATGTTGCTAATACATTTTGAAGGATCAGCCTCAATACAATAATTGGAAGAAAAAAAATGTTCTGTATGTAAATTTAATCTGATTATATCTCTTTGTAAAACACTAATGCAATCTACCCAACAACATAAATCTTAGTTGCACCAAAATTGCTTGGCGGAGGTCAAATGGAAATTATGATTTTATCATGTGTGTAACCCATCTATGTGATACAACAGCTTCTGAAGCCAAAGAGGAAGTGGACATGGAAGAAATAGTTCAAGGTATAGTCTGTTTTCAAAATGTTGTATGTAAATGTTGAAAGTAGAAATTTCTGTTTTAACACATTAATTGAATTTGAATGGTTACTAAAGGCTTTAAAGACTCAATAGATTCGAAATTAAATCACAAAGACTTCTTGTGATCTATCTGGTGTTCTTTTCTTTCAAAGGCATAACAACCCTGGAAGAAGAGGAAGAAGATGAAAAAGCAGTAGAACCAGAACCGGTCCCTAAAGGTAACAAACATGGCAACAGTTTGCTTGCATGAAGCATAGAAAATGAACCAGAATGAAAATGAGAAAATTATGCCAGCACTAATAAGCTCCAAGGTTATTGACTGTGGAGGAGTGGGGTTCTATACAACATGCTGAGGTCTGATGGTGTTGGATGAGAGGAGAAGAGGGCATGTGTGTGTGTGTGTGTGTGTGGTATAAGAGATGTGAGGGTTGAGAAGACCCTTAGGACTCAAACTTTGATCTCTAAAGACTTTCTGATGGCTCATTTTCCCATCTACTACACAACAGTGTAGGATCAATAGGATGATGGTGTGGGTCTACTAGTTTGGTAAAAAGACAATTTTTGCAACTGAACTTATAACTCATAACAATTAACCTATACATTTACATGTACTCATTTACCAGATGCTTTTTTTTTATCCAAAACACTTACAAATGAGGAATACAACAAGCAAAGAGGCAATCTTAAAGAGGCCATAAACTTGAGAAGTGCTATTAATACATGTTTATTTATTCAAAATAATTATTTGAATTATTATACATGCCAATGTACCCAAAACTACTCTTTCGCATTAGCCTGACTTCGTCATACTCATATTCAAGAAAGAATATGAGTCTGAAACTCCTCCATTAGGCTTTGATTATGAGGCGTGTCATAACCGAATCAGGACAAAAAAAAAAAACCTCTGCACTCAATTGGATAGTCGGTAGACCTACCAACCAATCAGAGCAACGCATAAGTCAACTCCTTTGCATAGCGCAGTTTTCAAATACAGAACGTAGCCTACTTTATTTATTTTAGAAGTTAAATAACAAGTGTTACTTGTTTTACTTCTCCATGAGTGCCACCAAAGGAGAAACCACAACGACCACAGGCTTTTCATTACGTCCCATCTTCTTAACGACCGTCAGAGCCAGCTGATAAGTTACACTTTTCCCGAATCATGTAGGAAGGACGCCAAAAATATCTTTTCCAATCGACAAATGCCTTGATTGCCGTTCCCTGTTTGTCTATTAAAATGAATGCGCTGTCGATTTTTTTTTTTTTTTTACAAAAGACGCAACAGCGGAATCTATACATCTCAATTCTCCAGCTGCAGTCATCTTTGACAAGCGTACTTTGATGACGTGAGGATTACGTTACTGAAGACCACCTGTCAATCATCGTATAAAGCCCGCCCTGGCAATTTGATTGGCCCGATGATTTCTGAACCGATCAAAATTACTCCTCAATGGATCGAGTCTAGACCGAACTTCCCGTCCAAAAAACGTTGTGGGCGGAGTTCGGGCTGGCATCCAGGCTACTTTGGCATAATATTTCAACAGTTTTTTCTGCATATGTGGTGTCCTCCAAAGAGAAGGGGAAAAAAGGTTAAGGTAGTGCCAGCCTCTAGAGTTATTTGGCTGAACACCACGAAATCATTAATAATGCACTAAAAGTATAAAAATGTATAACCTTGGCCATATGTTAAAATTAACATGAAATAAAAGCACAAAGATCACATGGGTCTTTGTAATATGGTTTTCTTCTAGTGAGATGCATTCCTCCCTTTCCAATTATTCCTGCTATTTGATTTATTGATATAGTGTTGAACTACAATTTTTCTGAATTCCTCCGGAGGGCAAAATATCCTACTGGGTATCAGATTAAAATCTGGAGAGGAGATTGGGGATAAAGCAATGTGTGTATTGCAGGATGGAAATCTAATCCTGTGCTGAGACAGTGTATGACACAGCAGTATCACAGACTCAGAGCTGAGATGAGTTCAGAGCACTGCGAGTTCTTCTGCCTGAGAATGAGGTGTACTTGAATGTACCAGCAGAGACAACACTGGAACACGGCGAGACTGAGTTCAAGGTCCAAATGAGAGTTTCAGTGCAGCTTCAAAGGGCTTTAAACGACACCAGACGATGAATAAGGGTCTTAGCAAAATGATCGCTCATTTAAAAAAAAAATAAAAAAGTTTAAGTTTAATAAGCACAAATGCTCGCCTTGCTCTGTTCTGTGATGAGCGTTCGTGACTCTCCTGTTCAAACTCGTTCATCAAAATAAACTAATCTTTTTTCGAGTCATAACTCGAAGGGTCCTAAACAAGACCCTTATTCATCGTCTGGTGTCGTTTAAAGTCCTTTGAAGCTGCACTGAAACTCTCATTTGGACCTTGAACCATTTGGTTCCCATTGAAGTCCATTATATGGAGAAAATCCTGGAATGTTTTAATCAAAAACCTTAATTTCTGTTCGACTGAAGAAAGACAAGATTTAGACAAGGTTTTGTCAAGACAACAATCAAAGTTTGTCTTTGATGAACATTACAAATGTATGTCAAGTTTGTGGGCATTTATATATGCTGAATTTAAGGAGATCTCAAGTCGACCACTGCTTTTATGAAGTGAAATGAAATAATTTCTTTGTGATTCAGCCTTGAGCTCAGTCCACCTCATGACTCCACAGATCTACCTGTGGGCTGTCCGGTGAGGAAACATTCCCTCTCTATTGTCTCACTTTTACTGTTGCTCTTTGAATGTGATTTCACCAAGTAGTGCATATTTCTGGATCAACATCCTTTCAAAATTCCAATCAACCAGTCAGATTTGAAGGATATGTTTACAGTGGATGTCAAGTTTAGCTTATAGCAAGGGTTAGGTCTTTCTTATGCCAATCTTTTTTTCATACCTCGTCCCTAAAATCAGTTCCCTCTGAATTAGCACTATGTTTTTGGACAGGGATGTTGTTGTTGATGTTGATCCAGGAACAATTCTTACCCAGCAAAATCACGGTGACCATCGGTGCTCTAAGGTATGATATTTATTAAAATGATAGATCTCTTAACTAAACTTCAGCTGTTGAAAGTGTTAGGGAAAAAAAAAACAATTTCAGCTACTTTCATTAAATTTCCACATCTCTAATCACCTTGCTTAGGTGTTGGTATAAAGTATTTGATTTGATTTTTAATTCACTATTATTCATAAAATTGCTGGCAACAATATGATAAGAGTGTAATATGTTTATAGGACTTTGACCCCATCATAAAAATACATATATTCAGAAATATTCTTACAAATATCAAAGGGTTTTGTCCCGCTGGTCTGTTTTATTGACAAGGTTAACTCACTTGTTTTTGACTTTAGTTCTTTAAAATGTTGTGCTCCAAAGAAAATTACAGCAATAACATCATCCCATTCCATTTACTGCAGAGAGGAGGCCAGAAGAAAATGAGAATATCTGCCCTGCCTGCAGGCAAGCAGCAGATACTCTGTCATTCCTCTATCAAGAACATCATTAGATATATTTCACACAACAAAATAAATCCCTGCTGAGAGAAAGAAGCCTGCTAGTAGGGGAGAGAGAGCAAAAATGTGGAACTTGAAGAGATCCATTTTGACCCCTGGGGTTGAGCAGTCTTCTCAGAAAGCACAAACAAAGTACAAAAAAGATCTGAACATCAAAGTTTGCGCGCGTGTGTGTGTGTCTGTGTGTGTGTCTGTGTCTGTAATCATGTACAAGTCTGTGTCCTTTGTCTTTCTTTTACTTTCTGGGCTGTAAGACTCACCTTTTGTTTTGTTGGTTTTATTTCTTAAAACAGCTGAGGAAGTGAAGGAAAAAGAAGCAGAGAAACCAGTGGCAAAGACTGAAAAAGAAGGTCAGTACACAATTACATTATAAAAATTAGGAAATATTATATATTTATATACAGTATTAGGGCTGTCAAACGATTAATCACATCCAAATTAAAAGTTTGTGTTTACATAATATATGTGGGTGCACTGTGTATAATTATTTTATATACTGTATATAAATACACACACATGCTTGTATATATTTAAGAAATATTGTTGTGTATAGATTTATATATAATTTAAATTATATATATTTTATATGTAAATAATATTTTTTCTTAAATATACATGCATGTGTGTGTATTTTATATATAGAAAATTATACACAGTGCACCCACATATATTATTTTGGATGTGATTAATCGCGATTAATCGTTTGACAGCCCAAATATATATATATATATATATATATTATATACTGTATATGCAGGGCCTAAAATTAACACTTGCCAGGCGCCGGGAACATTTTTAGGAACTCTAAAAATGCAATGTTGTGAGAACATGAACAAACAAATATTTTATTTTATTTTATTATACTTGTAAACTGAACTTATTTTCACCTCCAGCTTGTTCATGCAGAAAATAATGACAGTGACTAAATACACATGGGGCACAACTAAACCAGTACAGATAGTGTCAAGTTACACTATATGAAGTTTCAATGCCAAATCAAAGTCATAGGGATAATATCCTATCGTACAACTTCCAATGCCCCAGCTGATCTTAATCAATCTAGAGTAAATGCATTTTTTTAGCTAATAAACTTCTGCGCCAAAGGTCAGTGAGAAAACGAAGGAAGAATGCATGCTGTTTTAATAACACAGATCATGTACTCGGCCGCAGGGTCGACTGATATCAAAAATGGCATTTGCATTAAAGGCATTTAGAATGACACCTCCTGTAATTCCCCGCGAGCATGTAAGCAACACAATCAAAACCGGCTTTTTGAATTTCAATTATTATTCAAAGAGACTTCTTGGAATTCTTGCAGCTGCTTAAAAACATTAGCAAATCGCTTCTCAGCCATTTTGCCATTATTGTTAATCTCCGTTTGTTGGCGGGGTTGTCAACCTGTTTTTATTTTTAGCTGGCTTTCTTCTTGTTGTAATAATCCAATCTCTTTACTGATGGGGTGCCATTTAATCATAACACGTCACATTAATTCTGACAAATTTATGCAATCCAAACTTATAATGAAGGTGTCATATTTGTATCCTGTGATTTACTACCACCACTTTAAAAATTAATTTTAGTAATAACATTTTGATTTATGGACATAAAATCTGGCATTGGTCTCAGATGGCATAAGCTATTATGGGTTTTAAAGATAATGACATCAATATATTAAGCTGTAGAAGACATTTATCTCTGTGTTTAGCTGCCAATGTGATCTTTATCATCCTGTGTTGATTTAAACTAGGCTAATCTAATACATTGCTCATTAGACTGTCTTTTTTTAACAATTTCTCAAAAAAAAAATCATTTACATCATAATCATTTTTGTATTTAATGGATTTTTGCAATTGATTTGGTTTCGGTATTGACAAGTCTGCCTGTGCAAGCAAAAAAACTCAAATTTCATATGAACGATTGACAGCTAAAATAGGCAGGCAAATTATATGGACACTGTATTCTTGACACTCACTATTTTGCATTTGTTTATATCCAGACAAACAAAAAGAGCCCTCTACATGTCCTTGTATGCATTCAGTAATACATAAAGATCCTCAAAAAGCCCAAGACACTAAACCAAAGGAAGAAAAAGGTATTTGGTATTGACTTGCAAGGTCAATATCATGCATGTTGTTTTAAAATATAAAAAGAAAAAGCATGGGCATATTTTCTGCATAACAGAGCCATTTTATAGCAACTCACACTGGCCTTGTCTAAGCATAGGTCAGAGACATGCCAATATCTTCATTCTAACACATTTTGTGAGCTCTTCATGCAAAGACAACTGACCAAGAGGCATTTAGTATTTTGCACATGAAATAAATCGCATGCTTAAAAAAGAATCATTGATTGGTGAATGATGTGTACCTAAAGGCATATATGCATCAGTGGTATTGTAGCGGCTGAAGAAGAGGTGGGTGTACTGTGAATTAATCAAGATAACATGCATGCATACACGAAAAAAGTATTAAATATTATGCGTATGAGCACAAATCAGCAGATACAGAAAATCATATTTGGATTAGTTCACTTTAGATGTATATAGACCCGTACTCCTTACTGTAAACTCATCATACTGCTTTTCTACTAAAAATAGTTATATTAAATTTATTTTACAATAAAATATGGATGGTAGCCTATATAAAAAGCTGGCTATGTTTCAAAATTGCATTAACCATGTCTGAATTTTCAGTATCATACTTTGGGCTTTAATGAGCTTTATTAAATCATTTTTACTGTACGTCTCATTTCTCTTAAATTATGTGTAGTAAGCAAACAGGATAAATTAAAGCTGTGCAGCAACTTACTGTCCTTTTTATGTTTTTCCTCCAGCTGAACCTGATAAAGTCAAGAAAAGAGGTACTTTTATTCCAGAAAAGACTTTAAATCCAGCTATTATAACTGCTTGTTATACATTTACTGACTGACCGCTACAAGAAGCTAACATTAAATATTTTTAATGTATGTCTTCAAGTATTCAGAATTATAATTGGCCTTGATAGATAGGTATATTGATAGTCCTAGTATATTGAATAAAATAGTATAGAGCAGTTTAAGTAGAACTGAGTAGCTTTTCGGGTAGCAATTTAGACATTAAGTTTGTAACTATGAGGCCACAGACTTTTATACAACAGTTCTATGAACATAAATTAATATAAGGTACTGTACGTGTATTGTAGATACAATATGAACCGCTAGACTGTCTATTTTTGCTCATGTTACCTTAGTTCGACTTTCAAAGCATAGTAAATTAATGACAAATATAACCCATGATCTCCTCTATGACCTGAATATAGCAATCTGTTTTAGAGGACATCACTGAGGATCTTATATCAGTAAAATAGCTGTTTTTTTTCTCACTTCCAATAACTTTGACAAACACAACAGTGCCCCCTGGTGCATTTCCGTTAACTTAGATGTTATTTTTTTTAAATAAAACCCCCAACATTTAGTATTCTTGACAGAGTATTTCAGCTCTAGTGTGATACTAATTTATTGCAATATTAATCATGGCTACTGATCAATCCAGCATATTGCTTTTTTACAAGAACACTCTTAGTGTGATTGATTTAGACATCAGTGACCTGTTGCTGCACACAGTTTTAAACTCTCTCTCTTTAAACAAAGGCGTCTGGTTTGATTCATTTCTGACTGTTTTTCATGTCACAGCTAAAAGAGTCAGCCTTGAACGCAGGAGTAGACCTACATGTATGTGATGCATTGTTTTGTTTGATTAAAGCGGGTTAAGCTCAAGCAGGCAACTGTCGATTTCTACAGTAAACTCAACAAGCATGTGTAAAACTGTTAACTTTGATAAAAGATACTAATCAATAAGGAAATAAACTATTAAAAAGCAGAGCCAACAGCATTATGGGACATTTAAAAAAATCCAGATTTTTCACGTCAGAAAATGCATTTATTCATAAATTCAATGCGTTTGAAAATGTATTTTTACTTGGGCAAATTTGTAGGAACACATTTGGAGATACTTATACATGTTTGGAGAGAGACTGATACATATTTTGATCAGGAAGGAAGTGTTTTGTTGTTTAATGATTTTTTTTCCCTTACCAGAAGTCGAGACCAAGAGAAAGGAGCCCCTGCTTAAACAGAAAAAAGGTGCAGTATATATATATATTCAGTCTTATAGACGTGGGGTTTGTTTGTATAAGAAAATTGCACTAAAGGCTTTTTTCTTTCTCCTCCTCACAAACATTTGCTCACCAGAAAGAGAGGCTCCAAGAACAAGACTAGAGAAAGCAAAGAAAGGTAGCACAATGTGTTCCTGCTTTTTTTTTTTTTTTTATCATCATGCACTGAAAGAATTGCTTCAAATATTTTGTTATAGCAGCTATGAATATTTAAGACTTAACATAATATTTGCTCTCTGGTCCACAGCTCCAAAAGCAAAGGCAGTGGCTGACGGCAAACTGAAAAAGAGAAGTAAGCTCACAGGATCTGATCACACATGATACTTCTTTAAATCGATTGTTCACCTTAAATAAAAGGTCTGTCATTATATAGTCACCCTTATGTTGCACCAAACCTGTGTGACTTTCTTTCCTCCGTAGAACACAAAATATTTTGCTGAACGTTCACAGGCTCTTTTCCATAGATAAGAACATAGGCCAAGAGCTGTGCGTGTAAATCATTGAGGGTAAACGTCATATTATGCGACTTGTACCACTGAACCACCTGACCAGCCACTGCAGATTCATTTTGGCATTGACAGTGTTAGTGGATTCGTTGAAAATTCTGAGTTTACAAGTTGTAATTGCCAGTTCTTACAGAGACATGAACGTTATGGTTATTACAACACCTTTACTTTACGGAGAGCTTACGACCTACTAGCTTCTGTACATTATAGTGCTTTCGAATAAAGTACAGAGTTAGTTACAAAGTAGCTAGTAGTAACTAAGCTTCTGGTGTGGACTTAACGTCACAATTTAAAGGGATAGTTCACTTTGAAATACATTTTGGTATGTTTTAGCTAACCTCAAGCCAAGGGCATCCAAGGTGTATTTGTTTCCGCAGTAGTTTCAATTTTGTTTATTTTATGTCAAACCGCCCCCCTCTACCAGTCATATAATGGAGGTCTATGGTCACCACCTCAAAGAGCATGCACAGAGTCCAAATTAAACATGATTTAATGACTCGGAAACGAGCGTTTTGTGTGAGAAAACGAACAGTATTTATATCGTTTTTACCTCTTGTAACCACAGCCACGTCCAAGTGATCTGAGGGCGCAGGCGCTTTGTGGCTGTAGTAACAAGAGGTAAAAACGATACTGTTAGTTTTCTCACACAAACTGCTCGTTTCATGTCTTAGGCCATCAATGTGTACTTACATTTATGAGTCATTAAATCATGTTTAATTTGGACTTCTCTGTGGTGACCATAGACCTCCATTATATGACTGGTAGACACAAACAGTTTGACCTAAAAATATCCAAATTACTGCGGAAACAAAGACACCTACATCTTGGATGCCCTTGAGGTAAGCTAAAACATACCAACATTTTTTTTCAAAGTGAACTATCCCTTTGAGTAACAACTTATGAATGGCTGGTGCAAACCAGGTCACCATTAATTTTTGTTGTATGGAAACGAGCAGCATGAATATCCTAAACATCTCCTTTTGTGTTCTACAGAAGAAAGAAAATCATCCAAGTTTTGATCAACCATGAGAGTTTTTGGGTGATCTCTTTTAAGTTGATGGCAAATGTTAAATTCCGTTTGATCTAAAAATATGACAGCAGTGCTTTCCCTTCTCCTAATAACAGGATCTAGAGCATCAGAGGACGTGGAAGTGTCAGCCGCTCCAGCTCCGATAGAGGAGCGTGAGTGCAACTCATAGCCTTGTGATTTTTTAATATTACAATGTTACAATCACGTAATGCAAAAAGACAGCAGCAATAACACGCAATATACAGTCGGTCTATTGTAACTCTGAATCTTTCTTTTCACAACCCCTTAAAACAGTTCCTATGTGCCGACCAACACCTGTGTACTGCCCAGCGCCCCCTGGCTGGTATGGTGAGTATTGCAGTCACCTATGATTACTGTAACTTAATGTACTTTAATGTAAAACACATTCATACATAATTTATGCATCCTTTAATACCCAGAAATTCTCTTTATCCTTTATCTTACAGTGCATCATATAGTTACAAGTAGCCCATTACCACCATCGGCTTTTCCAGGTACTCAAAACTATATTAATTCATTTATTAATTTCAAATGCATTCATCAAGATAGTTGACGTCTTTTTTTACTAACTTAATTATGTGACTGTCAAAGCTTAAAAAAGTATTGCTATCTATCTATCTATCTATCTATGCTTTTTTAACATTACATTTTTCACTGTATTTTTCAGAATCAGAAGTTCCTATTTTAACAACTCATCAAGCTCCTACTGTATTGAAAGGTGTTGATCTCATAATATTTCTGCATTTTGATTCTATATTAGCCATTTGTCAATTCTGTGTTTCAAAAATGTTTCCTTTGCTTTAGAACCGGAAGCTACTAAGGCAAAACCAAAAAAAGACACTCAAAAGAAAGGTATAGTACCAATTTGTATTGATTTAGTGCCTGTAGTAAAGATATAGTATTTGTTTCCAGTTACATTGACATGTAAAAAGACCTGAAGGAAGTAATAACCTCTGACCTCCAATTTCAGAACCAGCTGCACCAAAAGAAAAAGCCAAAGCAGCTCCTGCGAAGAAGGGTGAGAACTATAGTTTAAAATGAATGGCACTATCCATCCGAATCTGTGCATTTATATTTGTTTTTGTACATTTGTACTGTTTGTGTTCAAGAGGCCACAGTTACTAAAGACAACGTAAAACCTTCAGTGGAAAAGAAAAGTAAGGACAATAGAAAAATGAGGGCAAAATTTCCATTTTAGATCTATTTTCATACTAAATAAATCAATTTGTATGACTTAGGGCCAACAGTTGTGAAGGAGAAGCCTAAAAGGACAGGTAATTATGGCTCAGGAACTGACTTACAGTAGCAGTAGTTTTATATTAATGAGCAATAACTTATAATTTCCTCTTTTCCAGCGCGAGTGATCACAAAAGCTGCCTCTACTAAGAAAGGTAGATTTTATTGTATTTCAACTTTATTGTATATAATGTAAAATTACATTTATATTATCATAAATTTTAATGCAGTTCATAATTTTAAATGGTTTATTAAATGGAGTATAAACAGAGTTGTCAGGCTATCTAGAAAACAGTTACCACCAATCTGGTCGTTAGACATACAGGAATCATGAATATTAAATGTCTATTCTACATCCTGTTCTTAGAGCCAGCAGTAACAAAGAAGGCAAAAGTAACAACAACCAAATACAAAGGTAACCTCACAGCTGATTATATATGCAGTAGAGACATATATTCATATTAATAGCTTAAACGCGACATTTTTCATACTCGTAAGCTTTCATAATGTTATGAAAGAGGGAAGAAGTCTTAATCCTTGTGTCATTATTTTGTATTAGCTCCTTTAATACTCACAGAAAGAGGTTTAACGGTGTCATAAACTTGGTGTTTATAAATATTTCAGACTGGATGATATTTGTCTCTCTTCTTTAGGCAGGTGTCGGTTAGCTGCCCCGTGGCAATGCCATAAAATGTTCTGCTATAGTTAGATATTTGCACTGGAAAATAAAACAAAATAAAATCAGTTTTTGCAGTGTAGGATGTGAAGTATGGATATTCATAAATACTATTACTTCATAATACATCCTATAAATCTATATTTTTTTGTGTCTCTACATGGGAAGAAGAGAAAGCTGTAAAGCAACTGAAGCCCACAGCAGAGGGTAAGTAATATTATTTATTTTAAAATATTAGATGATGCTTGCTTAACTTTTAAAAAAAAAGTTTTTACTTTAGCTCATATTTAACCCTCTAATGCTGCATATTCAAGTATTAAACTTATCCAACATCGTTAGTGCAGCTTAATTGACTTGTTGCATGAATGTTAAAATGAGCAACAACAAAAAAATTCAGTCTGTCTTAACCATGTGGGAGAATAAGCAATTACATTGTGCTTAAACTCTTAAAACACCTTAGAAATTACATAACAATGCCCTGACAAGCAGCAAAACACTGGCATTTTGTTCAGAAAATTAATAATATATTGTTGGGATATGTTTTTTCTGTGTTTATTATGAACTTAATTGTTTATAATCAAATTAGTAAACTAAGCATTGCAGTCTTGCTTTGAATGTGTTGAAGACAGCAGTGCATCTACACTTAGTGAATGGTTTTGTTCATCCTGAGAGATAGGTCACTAGATTTTAGATTGCTAATGGACTCTTTAGAATTATTATGTGCAAACAAAGCTTATTGACTTCTTGACAGGAAACCAGTATACAATATTTATGTGCTTTTAACTTCTGTAGTAAATTGATGTCGTACAAGGACTAACACATCAAATACTGCAAGTGCTGGCAAATCAAGTTTACTGTCGACAAGAGGAAAAGTAAAGAGGAAAGGAGACTAAAAGTAAAAGTGCTAAAACACTTAAAAGTGAAACACAAAAGTGATCAACTCACTTAAATGAACGGTTTAAGTATAAATGGGGCCAAAATGACAACCTTCAATGATTAGTGCATGTATACACAGACATTTACATTGTTGTATATTGTATAGCAGCAATGTAATTTGTTAGATTGTTTGTTCATTAGTTAAGAAGAAGGCCACATCAACTCCAAAAGCCATTAAAGAAGTTTTTGGGGGTAAGTTTTAATGACTATTTTTAACGTTGCATTATAAAAAAAGCCCAAAAGACGTCTCTGTATTTTTGAATATCCCCTCAGAAAAGAGAGACAAAATAAATATTTTCATGGCTAACAAACCTAAAGCTGGATCCATAGAAGGTTTATGTAGAGTTCTATTCTTGTCTGCTATCAGGATGAAAAAGGCATGCATGACCAAATATTAAGGAATTGTTTTTATATTCATTTCCCAACGGATGTGTTGTGTTGCAAACACCAGTACATGTTTTATTTGCTTTTGTAAAAGCACAGAGAACTTACTGCATAGATGATTGTAAGATGGATCAAGAAAACAAAAAACCTTAGACTCCAGTTGGCATAAGAAAATTGGATCTGTCGAGTAATATAACTTCAGATGAAGTCATGACAGAATTTCTCTATTTTTATGACAGGAAGTGTACCTTTCATGTTCTGTTTCATGATTATAATCAATTGAGTATGTTTTCCTGACACATTAAGAATAGAAATAACTGATTTTAAACTTGATTAAAAGACTTATCCACACTTGAAGTGCAATTATGAAGGTGTTGCATTGTAAATGTGTAAATGAAAAAACACATGATATAGAAAGTAAATAGATAATGTGATGAGCATTATTCTCCTTCACCTCCAGGAAAGCCCGTTTCAGGAAAACCTGTTTCAGCCGAGAAGAAACCATCTGAAGAAACCCAAGGTATAGACATGGCTCTGTTTCAAAAACGAGTATGCTGACAGCATTTAAAAGGGACAAGTCAACCAAAAATAAAAGTTCTGTGATTATTTATTCACCCTCATGTCATCCGAGTTTAACTCAAGAATTGGAAACTGGCTTTGTAAAGTGGATCATGTAATTTGTAATATCCGACTTAAAAGAATGATTTCATAAATTTGTGATTTTTAGAGATTGTAATATATTCCATTATGTTATTCCTTAATTCCACAAATGAGAGTTCATTTTACACAAACTATCCCTTTAAAAATAAAAGCAGTGAAATTAAGTAATTACATAATCCATTATGAGAAGTTCAGTGGAAATGTGGATTATAAATAATTTAATTCAGTACAGATAAGTGCTAAAAAATATTTTATGCAATATTTTTGTTGTTTATTTGTATCCTTTAACCCTTCATTCTCCATCCTTGTACATTCAGTATCAGCTTTTTTTTTTTTTTTTTAACAGAGCCCATGTGTTGCCATCATTTTCAGGTCAATCTTTGCTAACCATATCTCTCTCCTCAAATTTCTGTCTTCAGACAAACCAGCTGAGGCACCAGCACCAGCAAGTAAGTTCTGATGTTTTCTAACGTCCATGAGATGTGGAGAAGTATTGCGTGAAGCTTGAGATTAAATTTAGCCTGTGCTTTTTTATAGCGCTGTACCTAATCATTTCCGTATGTCAAAAGCAATAATCAAATGCATGCATTTGAAACATCTGCAGACTACATTTAGAAATGCATTGTTCAGCATCCATAGTGATCATGCGTACCTGCATATTGTAGAACTTGGGAGAACTTCAAAAACTTCCAGGCGACATTGAGGTACAATTCCTTATTCACTGGATGTATTAACTTCACAGTTTCGTGTACACATTGATACTATTCAAGGTGATCCCACTTAAACCAAAGGGATTAAACTACTTTGAACAGCATTAGTGAAATTACAAATTAAATTCAGCTATTAATACACTAATGCTGCTGGCTGGTTGGCCCTGTGTGAACTCCTAATGTCACTCTTTCACTGTAACTACTGCCTAACACAAATTGCTTGACTTGCTTGTTAGAGAATCAAGGTCAGATTTAATTACGGTTGTGCCACATTATTTCAGTGAAAACCCTGGGTCTTATTCACAAACCAATTGCAGTCCACTTTAACAAGGCACTATACGCTGGGGGGGGGGGGGGGGGATTTATCAGTATATTTGTCTTATTTTCTGTAAAAATTGGGGATTAGATCAATTAAAAATGAAAATTCTGTCATCATTTCCTCAGCTTCAAGTTGTTTCAAACCGGTTTAAATTTCGTTCTTCTGCTGAAAACAAAGGGAGATATTTTGAAGAATGTTGGTAACCAAAAAGTTGATGTACCGCGTTGACAACCATAGTGAAGAAATAACTATGGAAGTCAATGGGGTCCATCGATATTCTTCAATATATATTTATTTGTGTTCAGCAGAAGAAATACATTCATAAAGGTTTGAAACAACTTGAGGGTGAGTAAATGATGACAGAATTTTTCATCTATTTACAGATTTTTTTTAATGCAGCTAGGGCTGGCCGATAAAACGATAACGATAATTATCGCGATATAATTTTTCTCGATAAACGATATCAAGAGGTCGATAAATGTTCGATAATGTTAATGCGCCAAAAGCGGAACGAAACTCATTTGAACCGCGCACGCCACACGGAGCATTTATCCGCTCGGCTCAAAGTCCAAACGGCAGTGAGCGCAGCGCGAGCTCGCTGGAGCAGACGCGATTGCTTTGATCGTCTCGCTCAAAAAATCCAGCGAGAAGCGCTTGAGTTCAGCGAAGAACACAGATGTCAAGTTTAAACCAGTTTAGGGCAGATAAAACACCGTTGACAAAAAGGAGAAACACTGCGTGCAACGATCCAGTCAGAATCTGAATTGATACTGAATCCATTTAGCCTACCATGGATTTACTGTAAGGTTAGCCAAGTAATATTAACTGCACCATGAATGTGGGATATACATATTTAATGGTATAATATTATTAATGTAGACAATTCATTAAATGTCTTATGGAATATAAGTACAGCATTTAATAATGTATTTAACTGTTAGGCCACTGTTTTCATACAAATACCACAGAAACCATAAAATTACATTTTGCCATGATAGTGAGGTGCTAAGTTATAGGCTATTCCTGGTTTTCTCTATGGTTATCATCTAAATGCATGAGACTGGATGACCAATGGTTAATTTTAATACAACTCAGTCAGAATATTACATTTTTATTTGGTAAAATCATTTTACCAAATAAAAATGTGGTCGTTACATTAAACCCATATCACCCAGCCCTAAATGCAGCATGAAGTGGCAAATAAAGTCAAGTTACCTTTATTTAGTGCGTTATACAAAGCTTATTGTTTCAAAACAGTGATAAATAGAGAAATAAAAATCAGTGATGCAAACAGAATTCAATTCAGCTTTAAAGACAGAGACAATAGACAATCGAGTCACTTTTCAGCTCAAGTTAATTTAGTGTTGATTTAGTTTGCTTTTGAAACTGTAAGGCAAGGCAGCCCTGCTGTCAATTCAGTTCTAGTTTTGTTCTCATCCAATCAAATCAATATTACTGAATTTTAATCCCCACGGTTTGTGAATACCCACATTTGTGTTATTTCAGTGGCACTATACTCTTCAGATGGACATTTGTTACTATACTGTTATAGTTCACCAAGGAATTCTCTTTAATGTAAAAATGTGTTTCTCCTTGGCAAATCTCAGGATTTTTGAGCATATATAATCCCACAAAGGCCTCAAGTGACTTTTTTTTTTTATTCGCAAGCCTGGTTTTCATCCATTTGAAGTAACTTTTGAAGGTCGCCGTTACTTTCAAATTCAAGTCTTCAACTCTGTCTCAGAGGGTGTTCGCAGATATCGCGGTCTACTGCTTGTACAAATTACTCCTCTGGGAACTGAGCTTTGTCATGTCACCTTATAACAACCCTGAAAACTAAAAGCCACATTAACAGATATTCCATCCATAACTGAAAGTATTTGCCATGTCATTTAAAGATTTGCTACAGCAGCATTCCATATTTTGTGTTGAAATGAGTACATTTTTCTTAAATTTCTCTCTCTCTAACAACTAATTAGAAGAGCTGAAAGTGGAGGAAAATGTCACGGAGGACAAAAAGCCAGGTAAATTAATCTAATTCCACACCATACATTGCAGTATCGTAGTTTTTCCAGCAAAATCTTCCAGTGTAACAGAGTTTTGGAAACAGTACAATAATATGTTACATTGCAATATGGAATTTTACATAGCATGTAACAGGTAAATCTATGTAAATTTACTCACCCCCATGTCATCCAAGATATCCATGTCATTCTTTCTTCAGTCGAAAAGAAATTAAGTTTTTTGATGAAAACATTCCAGGATTTTTCTCCATATAATGGACTTCAATGGGAACCAAACGGTTCAAGGTCCAAAAGACAGTTTCAGTGCAAACTGCAAACTGTTCAAAGGGCTTTAAACGATTCCAGACGATGAATAAGGGTCTTATCAAGCGGAACGATCATTCATTAAAAAAATAAATAACAAAGTTTAAGTTTTATAAGCTCAAATGCTCACCTTGCTCTGTTCTGTGATGTGCGTTCGTGACTCTCCTGTTCGGTTGTGCTGAACTCGTTTATCAAAATGAACCAATCTTTTTTCGTGAAGTTTCCTGGAAAAACCCTGGAATGTTTTCATTAAAAACCTTAATTTCTTTTCGACTGAAGAAAGAATGACATGGATATCTTGGATGACATGGGGGTGAGTAGATTATCAGCAAGTTTTTTTAAAAGTGAATTACTCCTTTAATTGTAATTTGTATGTGTATAAGTATATATACAGTATATATATATATATATATATACACACACACACACATACATACAGTGTGTGTTTTGAACTGTTCAGTGTTTTTTTTTGTTTGTTTGGTTTTTTTTTTGCACCTGCTGAGAATCACTTGTTCTTTGTGTTAAAGGCAAGATACCATACTTCCAGTGCATTTTAATGAGCACAAAATCCAGCCAATATCCACTGCGGCCCATGTCCCCTGCTATGAGTCCAGCTATTAACCCCAACATGATGAGAGCCATGATGGAGCAGAGGGCCGCTTTACTGCAGCAGAAAGCCCGTGCAAGTGGACAGTAACAGTTCGGCTCTGGCAGGTGTAAACTGCTTATGAACCGCTGTAAAAATACGCTGCTGCTGAGCTCTCAAGAGCTATTCACCTAAACCATCACAAAGACTAAATAACAAATGGAGGTCACTGGTTGTTCAATGAACGCTCTCCATTCCTCCATAAGTGGCTTTTGAATCTAATCACAATTTCTCAATTTTTACAAAAATTACATGCAATTACTTAAAAAAATATAAATAAATTATAATGTACGTTTTGAAGTATATTTAATGTATAAGCGCCTGTCAAAGAAACGTTACTTTTTTTTTTATTTAAGTTCTTAAAACATCTGTTTACATTTGTTGCAGGGGAAATTCTGCTAGGGTTTTTTTTTGTCACATTGTACAGAAGACTACTCAGCAGCTAAACACATTTAGAAGTAGTTAAATAATTTAAGTGTTTCTCTAAATATTCAGATATTTATTTTTTTATATGATCTCATTACGGAAAGGAATACTGCAGCACACATTCACTTAGGGCCTTATCTTTAGGCACAGGCCATTTCCTTTGGCTCACTGGTAATAAGATTATGCGTAGTATGTCTGGGTTCTACCAGGGTCTGGGATCTTTCTGTATTTGTATGCAAAGCCATTAGAAAAAAGAAGGACGACATTTGGACCGAATCCGATTTCTATCTTAACCGATGAAATGAGCTTACAACCTTATAGAATTAAAAGAGACATTAAGAAATTAAGGCACACAAAAGCCTCTAAATAATGAAAGGCTTTCATTTTACTTGACTGGGACTTTTTTTTTTTTAGTATCTCTTTAGTTAATTGAAACCCCCTACTGGGGTTATTAGATTTATGGTAGTGAATTTAATAGTGTATGAATATGTATAATATAATTTTTCATGTACAGGTAAAACCTAAACCAATTGTGCTATACTTGAGTACATAAAGTATACCGAAAATTCAGTGTTTTACATTATTTGTCCACCCTGCAATCGTTTTTCTTGTGTTTTTCAAACCGAATGGCCCTTTTGTTGATACACAATGTATAAAATCAATTGTAGTTTAAGCTTGGCCTAAAATATCATGACATTTTAATGCATTTACATTCATTGTTTTGTTGCTATATGGATGAGCCATTAAGTAATTATTATTAATAATATGATATACTGTAAGTAATAATTATTGGTAAAACTTTACAATAAGGTTTCATTAGTTAACATGAACAATACTTCTACTCCATTTAGCAATTACTAATACATTTTTAAGATCAAAAGTCACATGTGTTTACATTAATTAATTCACTGTGAACTACAATTAACATGTATGTTTTATTAACTAACATTAACAAAGGTTAATAAATGCTTTAAGGATATATTGCTTATTGTTTGCTCATGTTAGTTAATACATCGTTAACAAATGAGACCTTATTGTAAAGTGTTACTGAATTATTTTTAATCATTATTGGGATTATTGGATGTTATTTTAACATTTTTTTAATGTGGGTTGGACAATTAAATATTTATCTTATTTTGCTTACCAGTAAAAAATGACTTTCTAACTTAGTGTTTTTTTTTTGTTTGTTTTCAGTACAAATATCTAAACATTCTTAAATCAAGATGTATTAAGAAGCAAAATTACTTGACATCAAGTCTTGTTTTCTAAAGTAAAATCTAAATAAATTGAATTCATGCTTAAATTAAGAAACAAAAAAAAAATCTGCCAATGGGGTCAGAAAAATAATCTTGTTTTCACTTTGAATTAAGTTTATTTTTCTGACCCCATTAGCAGATATTTTCTTCTTTTTTTAAACAAACTCACTTCATTATGATCAACTGTTCAGAAAACAAAATATCCTGAGTGTTTTTTACTCAAATAAATATATCTTGAGTTAAGAATGTTTTGATTTTTGGGCTGATGAACAAGACAAAAATACAGAGTACAGATTTTTAGTACACAGTATACGCGCCTGTTGAAGACCCCTTCCCTAGGTAGTCATCAAACAGTGTGTGGATTAACTGCAAAGTACAATAGTATGTTATTTAACTTTACTTTGACCAACAGTGATTTTCAAGATCTTGATCTGAAGTCACTGTCCATTCTTAGAGGCATCTTGTTCTTGTAACATTTCGTTCCGAGCGGGATTCAAACCAATGTTTCCAGTATGGGAGGCTGGTGCGCTAACAAGGACACTAAACACCGCAGCCTCTAGTGCACCTCTTGAGGCCAGGGGAGTGAGGTTTACTCGCGCAGCTTTACAAGTCTGCCTCATCACACAAACCTCCCTAAACCTCACATCCCTCTGGGTCACGGCACCAACGTAACCCCTACGGTTCTACTCGCACCGCTCCAAGCTGGATTTGAACTGGGATCTCTGGCATGGGAGGCGGGCGCACTAACAAAGACACTAAAGACCATAGACTTTGGAGGCGAGAGGAGTGAGGTTTACACGCCCATCTCTTGCTAGCCTGCCTCCGTTACAGTCACCTCCCTAAACCTCACTTCCATCTGGGTCACGGCACCAACGTTACCCCTCTACTCGCACCGTTCCGAACAGGATTCGAACCGGCGAGTGCACTAACAAGGACGCTAAAAACTGTACCCTCTAATGTCAGTCGCAACACTCTAAAAAAAAATGCGTCAAAGCAACCCTTGTTTGGGTCAAATATGGACAAACCCAACCATTGGGTTTAAAAATGCAATTGGGTTTGTGCACCACAAGAAGAGTGTAGTTCTCTTGAGCCCAGGGGAGTGAGGTTTATTCGCACAGGTCCGACTAGCTGGCCTTCATTACACAGGTTTGACCATTTCAACCTGAAATACTTTGTCTTATTCAAGAACACACTAGCGTGTGTGACATTTATTTTCAGTAATTTAAGGATCGGCAAGACCTAAAATACTGTATGTCCTTGAATGTCTTCTCATAATCAACAGAACAGCAGTGAAAAAAAATCTAAATGACAAGAACACGAGAGAACAGCAAGGCTGATTTTTGAGTACCGCTGTGCATTTGGGCTGCATATTGTCATAGAAAGACTGCATAATGTTACTGTATGTAGTGATTGCAGCAGAAGGCTGTTTCTCTTTAATCAGGACATAGTGAGACAGTTAGCTGTAACTTTCTGACTTTGAACAGAAGTAGGCCGCAGAAATAATCTCACTTTGAAGTTGCAGCTTCCTGCAGAGAGGATGTTAACTGTACAGTGGATATTCCTAATATACAGTATATAAACAATGCAAATATTGGTGACCCTGAAAAACATGTATAAAACGGGACACCATTTTTGTCTGAAATTGAGAAAAATCACTGTCTTAGCTTAAATGAGAGACAGTTTACAGTGAAAACGCAATGTTTACGAGGTGGAACCTCAATTGTTGATTCTCAGAAGGCTTTGAGCTCCATAGATGTATAAAATCCAAAGTGTGGGGCTAAACATTTTATTTTATGTTTAATATAAACATAAGAGGTGACGGAAGTTGTTCTTAAAGTTGTTGAATGTGTTTGGTATTTGCATGACTCCTGAGAATATTGCACATTTCAGTTTCTGATGTGTTAAATTAGCTTACTACACTGAATTTTAATGGAGGCTGCTAAAGGATCTTTCTTTCATAAGACTTGTGCTGCTGATGACATTAGGTTGGGCACCTAGAACTTGTCAGCCTTATAATCTAAATTATGTTTAGCGTATTAAAGGATTGATCACTGTTTTTTTTTTCCACAAAGTAGTGGGATTTTTTTGGTTTGATTTATTGGTTTTACTAGGGCATGTCAGATTGCTCCATAATTTGTCATCACGTCGCAGACCTAATTCAGTTCTAAATATGTCAAACTGTCATGTTCTTATGAATGTTGAATAAGATCTGTCAGTAGAACCAAAGGAAATTATTATTTTTTTTCATTCATTTGCATATTGCTGAATTCTATGTTGGAGCGAGAAAAATTCTGTTAATAAAGCAATTTCTTTGTGCAAATTTGTCTGTGACAGAATGTCTTTTTTCGTGTAGGCTACTTTTTAAAATGGATGAATTATGAATTTTTTTGGACAATTAATGTGTCAAGCTAAATGTGTGCAAGCAATTATAAATAAAGGCTGCCTGTATTTTTTAGTCTATCGAGGTTTTGTTATGAATGTAACGTCAAAGTTGAGTGCATGTTTCTTCTTAATTGTTTTACCTCCCAAATGCTGATTTTGACAAATTCATGTTGTACACAAAAATCTATATATAATATATCCATACACTGTTGTGGAAATCTGTGCAGTCAGCAAACAAATGGAAGCTAAATGTTTCATTTACTGACTTAGTAAGTACACTGCTACTGGTAAAACCACAGCTAGCTAATATGAGCTTGACTTTTTGGTCTTAAAAATGTTAAAAGGTCCCTTACCTTGCAAGACAAAAACCAAAAGGCATCAAATCCACACAGAGGAAAGCCAAGAACAAATTTTTGAACCATTAGCAAGCATTAACTTGTAGCCTGTTCCTTTCAGCATAGCCACAACATGGGTTGAATTCAGAATAACATACTAGTAAGCATGCATGGCAGGTAGTATTATGAGTAAATAGTAAGAGTAGTATGCTATTCGGAATAAATCCTCTGTTTCCAAATGCCTTTTTAAAAATACTAGGCTGCATATTCTGCACGGTATTCAGCAATTCTAGTTCCATGTTTTTATGCTCTTCTGTACAGTATAAGTTTCGCCACTAGAGGTCGCTTATTCAAAACAATAACAAAGGCGTAGCTTGATGACTCCGGGAATGAGCGTGGAATCATGGGAATTGTTGTCTTCACCTCCACCGCCGATGGAAAACAATCTGACAGGACTGAGGCAGAATTCCTGTTCATTGATTAGCAAAATGTATTAAATTATTATAACGTTTCTGTGGTATGAAGCAGGGTAGAAAGATCGGGACATTTGCGTTTGTAACTCATACTTTGTTCCAGTTTCATTTGATCACTGAAATTCACATTGCAATATTGAAATTAGAACATATAATAAATGTGGAGTTAATTTTAAATGTTGTATGGTGGAGAAAAGGCTGTATTACTGTTACTACAAATAAAGCTGTTTCTGATTTTGCTGATGTTTCTCACAGTAAATCAAGACAAAAAGAGATTTAAACAATAAGACTAACCGTGTTGAGCTATGTAACAATGATTAGTTTTATGTCGATAATGGTATCCTTGCTAACCTGTCTAAAAACAAATCAAGGTACATGGCGATGCAGTGACAAGGGCAATACACTGGTTAAAATAGCAGATTTTTCTGGATCAAAACAATATTGGACACATTTGGCATAATGCAAGTACACAAGTCTACAAAATATAAAATTGTTCTTGTGTTTTTTTTTTTATATTTTAATCCAAAAATCTTATGCGTTCAAGCTATGTTATTCATAACTGTAAATAAACATCTTGGAGATTCACAAAAAGACTCTTCATACCAGCAATTCTGAGCTGATTCTAATATTACAACACGGTTGTCTGGATAGACTTGGTAAGTCCATTCATATTTTTAATTGAATTAATCTCTTCAGCAGAAGCTGGTAAATAAATTCTTATTTTGCCGCTGTAATTCCCTCTAGTATGCCCTCTTCGAGCCCACATCTGTTGAGAGCAACATAAAACGAGTCCACTATTTTAAGACGAATTCTCTGTGGCTGGCTGCCTGGCTATAAAAAAAACCATACACAATTTAAGCCAAGGTTCTGGATTCTAGGCCTCAGTCTGGATAAGTAGTGTGGCTCAAGCAGGTCACATCAGCTGATGGGCAGAGATATCTGGGTCAGCCAGAGAACTACATGATCGCAATGTGCTCCATTCTCTGAGCAGCTCTAAATAATACAGAGAGGTGGGACTTCTTTTTCTGTAGTGTATAAAAAAAAAAACCAAAGCATTTTTAAGGTACACCCATGATAGACAGTATGCAAAAGTATATCTATATTCACTGTCTTCCAAATATATATATATATATATATATATATATATATATATATATATGGTTTTTAATAGTAAACATTAATAGTTTTTTAGCCTTTATAATTTTCAGCATCACTAATCCAGTCTTCAGTGTCAAATGATCCTTTAGAAATCATTCTATTATGCTGATTTAGAGCTCAGAAATATTTCTTATTATCATCAGTTGAAAACTGACAGTTTCTGACAGCTACAACGACGGGACAATTCAATGCAGCACAGTAACGTTAAAATGGGAGCACAAAAAGGGGATATTACCTGTAGGCCCACGGCCTAGGCTTGATGACGTGGATGGACAATCCGTAAGGAACCCCACGTTCAGACCACACGACGGGCAAAACTTGGGAGCGTCCCCCAGTTGTTTGGCACAATACGGACAAAACAATTCAAACTAAAAAATAAATAAATAGTTCAGATATCAGGACAATATTGTACAAACGCCAGTAATGCATCTATTTAATGACCAGACGCGAGTTTGCCGCGTCTAGCTAGCCTAGCTAACTTAGTTTCCAGCTAACAACTTGGCAGACTAATAACTTAGGTTATGGGGACAATAACTTAATATGTTAAAAACACACAAAACCACTTCGGTACCAGAGCACATCGACAAGTCTGTCATAATGAAAGAGAAACACTTACCTCTTCAGACAACAAAAGCACAGCGCACATTCAAAAAATAGCGCTAAAAGACAACCCGTTGAGACAACCATGGAGACAACCGGATGGATGCGGTTCCGTCACTGATTATGGCCCCCCCGGAAACATTTCCGTTGTGTTTTTGCAGTTTGCAGTTCGTTTACTATTTGTTCGTGGTGCGAATATTTGCATCGTACGTGGTGTGAAATCGACGAAGTTGTTTTCTGAATTTGCATGTGTTTTGTGAATTTGTATGTGTTTTCTGAATATGTAGTTGTTGACGTCACATTCTGGGCGGTAACCCGGATGAGCGGCCATTATGGAGGCACTCGGATGTAAACAACAGCATGGACTGCACTGTTTATGTACTACTGAGTACATTGTTACACTAAATAAAAAAAAACAGGAAAAAAACCGTGGTAGATGCGAAATCATATAGAGAAGGACTTATCAAACAGGAGAGAGCCCAATATTTTGACAAACTAAAGTTAATATGTGGTAAAGGTCCGAACGAGCTAGCTTCTCTAGCCCGTAAGGCAAGGCAAGTTTTTTTATATAGCACATTTCATACACAGTGGCAATTCAAAGTGCTTTACATGGAAGAAATTAAAATAATCAAAAGAAGTCAGAATAATAAAACAGTTTGGAATTTAAAAAAATCATAATAATAAAAATAAAATACAGCGAAAATAAAATGTATAGTACAGTCGGAATCAATCAATCAATATAAATAAAAACAGTTAAGAGTAAAAATAAAATAAAGTAATACCCCTAGCTGAGAAGTACTGCAATTCTTCTGTCTATTTCTTATTCCGACATAGGCTACATTCAGATTGTCAGTCCAAAAAGCACATCCGTTTCAAGCTACATCCACATGTGGTTTGAAATCCTATTCAAATACCAGGACATATGCCTCAGTCTGAACGATCGGATTTCGGGTGGTATGCGACTCTCACGCCACATAAAATGTTAATGTCAGTGGTTGTTAGAGGAGACATGCTGCAAGTCGCTGCCGACACAATGCTGTGTTGTTGCGAATTGCGGACGAGCAGAAAAATATTATTTCAGAGACATACCGGCGCAGACAAGAGCGCAAAAAAAGCTGTAACGTTACATAATAATTCTGTAGCTCAATACGCAATATAGTCCTGCTCCTTAAATCGGTTTAGGAATAAATTATTTGAACACACATGAATGAAACATAGCATGTTAAGTTAGTTTGTCATTCATCAACATCCATGAATCACAAACCCCCTGCTGTTCCATAAAACCAAGTACTCTCCCTCTATCATGAGAGGTTCCTCGAGGCAGGATTGGTGCTTCATCTCCATTTAAAATAAGCCGGTTTAGACGAGGGCAAACTCTCCAATATGGAAACTGCTGTCTCGAGAAGACAGTGTGACTGTGAATCTCATATTAGCACTGGCATCCCATGGTTTCGGTAGACAATAAAAGCCCTGGAGATAAATAGGTCTGCACATCCTTACTGAGGAACAAGCGACTCCTTGCTGAAAGTAAGGCGATGCATGCAGACAGTGAAAGTAAGCACCATTATGTTCAGCAGACGTACGACATGGTCTTAAATTTGACGAATGCTTTTTAATTAGGTTCTCCACTGCAGTCTATTACATGCACATGGTCATCGGTGAGCCTGAGCCTGATTGCACACTTAAGGTGGCGTGAGCCGGTCTGATGACACCCTCGATAAATAATGCAGGAGGCCAGTGGTTTTGTGCTGTGTTTGTACAGGAGGGCTCAGGGTGTGTTCGAGTCAGCAGATGCTCTGAGTGGGCGGCACAGAGTGAGATCAGGACAACAGGAAGATTTTGGCACCAGATTTGTGCATGCTCAGCAAACAAACTGTCTCTTCAGGGTGTTAACACCGGACCCAAACTTATGCACACAATGCTTTTTGGACTGTAAGAGAAATTCTGAACTGAAACCATGTTTATGTGATTCATGTGGTTGTGATACCTCAAATCATGTGACTTGTTGTGGAGAGTTGTGATATGTGACTGAGTTTTTTTCCTGGTGAATGATAAAACGACCCAAAAATATTTCTGTTATGGTGGGATGCAGTTTGTAACATATTATAGCCTATACACAGAAAGTAAAAAAATAAAATAAAGATAATTAGTAAGAAGTCTCCTATGGAAGCTTGTTTCAGTCACAGAATAAAAAAAAATATAAAAGGTAATATCATTTTTGTCTCAGTTCTGACTTTTTCTCTCACAAAAACTTTTGCTGATAATTTACTCACCCCTATGTCATCCAAGATGTCCATGTCATTCTTTCTTCAGTCGATAAGAAATTAAGGTTTTTGATGAAAACATTCCAGGATTTTCTCCATATAATGAACTTCATTGGGAAGCAAATGGTTCAAGGTCCAAATGAGAGTTTCAGTGCAGCTTCAAAGGGCTTTAAACAACACCAGACGATGAATAAGGGTCTTATCTAGGACCCTTCGAGTCATGACTCGAAAAAAGATTTTGATGAACGAGTTTGAACAGGAGAGTCACAAACGCTCATCACAGAACAGAGCAAGGCGAGCATTTAAGTTTATAAAACTTAAACTTTTTTTATTTATTTTTAAATGAGCGATCGTTTCGCTATAAGACCCATATTCATCGTCTGGTGTAGAAAATCGTCTGAAGAAAGAAAGACGTGGACATCTTGGATGACATGGGGGTAAGTAAATTATCAGCAAAAGTTTTTAAAAAAAAAAGTGAATTACTCCTTTAAGTCAGAATTTCGAGTTATAAAAGTCAGAATTGCGTGATATAAAGTCAGAATTGTGAGATGTAAACTGTGGTGGAAACAAGCTTCCATACTTTTGCTCAGTGAAGCTGCATTTATTTGATAAAAAATACAGTAAACCCATATTGTGAAATATCATTACTATTTAAAATATAATATCCTATTCATACATTTTAAAATGTAATTTATTCCTGCTATCTAGTGTCATTTCCTTCAGAAATCAATCCAACATGCTGATTTGGTGCATTTCTTATTATCATCAATGATATATAAAAAGTAAAATTAACAGAAAAAAGCAAGCTGAGTTGAAAGACAGAAAGCGATAAGGTTTAAACTATGTATATCAATATTTATTGGCTGCTTTTTTTCCTTTCGCAGTTTAGTTTCAGTTACATAATTTATCTCAGAATTTTGAAAGGACATATACACATATTTACTTCCATTCAACATGTTCCTTTAAACCACATGTAGTGTTCTGCATGATAATACCTCTATACTGCATGGGCTTCTCAGCACTAACACCCTATTATACAATCAAAGTGAGATGGAAAAGATAAGCCAACAATCAAAGAAATACAGAATGCATTGTTCCTGGAGTCTTTAGAAAAGCAGGGAATAATTGTCGTTTTCCTCGACCCAGGGTTGCTTTGGTTGTAATGGCAATATATACGTATCGATAAAAAGCAAGGCTAGAAAAATGGAGACAATTTGATCAACATTCCGATTGCCTAAAATACAAACAAGGCTGTTCATAATGCAGCATGACCAAAAAACATATACAGGAATACAAATAAATTCAAGGTGTAATAAAATACTGATCATGGCATTAACACAGCTCTACTAAATACTGTATATACTGAAACAATTTACACCATCGTTTGATTCATTTCTGCTCACTAAATCTGAACACCCTCCCATTATTCAGGAAATGTAATAACGACTCCTAACGGCATTCTCTGAACCCAAAGTAGTATGACATCACTCTCTGGGAAATACATTCAGATTCAAAACGGCCAATTTTCAACTTTTTGTCTTTCCTATTTCTGTTCAGGGTGAAACAGCAATGTGTTTAGAAAGAGTTTTTGCTCCTCGAGATGTTAGAAACCCAGTGAGTCATGACAGTGGGCAGACTTTAGTTTTAGCAAATAAAAACTAGAGATCATCTTCCTTAACATAAGTTGTCAGCAAAATATAAAAAGTCATAATCTGGACAGTTAACCAGCTTGTCATAAAAAGGAAAAGTTTGTTTTTTTGTATAAACACTGAAACATACATAATGTATTACCAGCATTTAAAATGTAACTACACAATTTTAGAGATGAGGCTGATTGTATTGTATGTAATCCATGACATTCCAAATATCTATATATATATATATATATATATATATATATATATATATATATATATACAGTATACATAATGTATGTATATAATAATGACAATAAAAATTATTTTTGACCAGGCTGTCATCCAAAGAAATTGTGAACTAATGCAAAAACAAGAGAGAACCAATGAAGTATTAATAACTGATTAATACATTTTAATAACTTGATGTAGTCAAGCTTTTTTTATTTATTTATTTTTTTACATATAGACTATATATAAAATAAAACCTAATGGCTAGCTGTTTATCATTTTGACAAATAATATATCAGATATATATCTTATAGCATTTTGAGCTTCCCCCATGCTTAAAATATTGAAAAAATATTAAATATTTTTCATATTTTGATGGTTTAATCAAATTTGTGTGTATATATATATACGTATATATTAAGAGGTTTTTATGTTTCTAAATCTGTGCATACGCAAAAATGTGAGTTTTAGATGCTGTCAATGCATCTATATTGTATGTTTCAGCATATATCCAAATGTACAAAATGAATGTATAAACACTAAATATGAATACTTGTGGATTGTTATGAAATAAGAAAAGAAAAACAGGACCAAACTGAGCATTGTACAGAAGCTGTGCCCACAAAATTTTACATTTTATACCACACAAAATAGTAAGATAACAACAGTTTTTTTCTAAATTTGACTCTTAAGTTATTTAGAGGTTGTGATTGTATTGTAAATTTTATCCGGGAAGTATCATTCGCTCAAAATCAGTGAGGATGTGTAATTATTTGCTTCCATGGAGAAAAATCTGGAAGATTTGTATGTACTTTATATTTTAAATGTACATTGCAAATGAATATTGCCCTTGTTCCTTACGCATACAAAAAAAAAAAACAATCCCTGAAATCAAATGGTGACATGATCTGTGTTTTGCCCAGAATCACTGGTTTAGGCTTGAAACTAAACTGCTG